ATTCGATACGATAAAAAGGAACAATATGAAAGAGGATGTAGAAGATGAATGAAAAGAAAGAAAGAGACAGCAAATTGAGTGTCTCCGAAAGAGAAAATAAAATAGGCAGTCAAAAGAGAGGATAAACTAAATAACAGTTATGGTATTCTGATTGTGAGCTGACAAATGCGACAACAAAGAACAAACGCAAACGAAAACGCAAAAACAAAACCCGTGGCAATAATGATAACTAACCGCAAAGAGCGCCGCCAGCGACAGCCGCAGCAGTACCGTTAACAGCAATGCAAAACAGCACGACTGAGCGAGATGGCAACAACATCAGCAGCAGCTTCCGTCCGGCGTCCGGCGACTGGCGGCTTGGCCTACATAACAAAAACAGTTGCATTGTTACGAGCACATCTTAGGGTTGGGCAGCAAGTCAGGCAGGCATGGGAGTAGGAGAGACGAGCAGAACGACGCAATAAAGGGCCTCTTGTTATGTTATGTGCACATGTCTCTTAGACTACTATCGTGTTCTTGTTGCTTTTCATTGCCACTCGAGTCATCTTTAACGGTTTGACAGTGGTCCTATGAATCCTTTTAATTTGTTTAGCCCGTCCTCAGACTGCCTCCCAAGTGGCGCCCTTCAATGTAACTTGCTTGGAAAAACAAGTGCAATTTCCTTTCAATTTCCTTTCTTCGTGAGCAACAGCAAATTGCTACAACAGGCAGCTAATGCACATTTGTTCTTTTGCTTGCGTTGACCGTTGGTCAATGTTTACCAAACAATTATTTCATCAACACCACCAATAACAGCAACAGCCGATTTCATTGGCTACTTTTTCGTTCAGTCCCACTTTTTCAGACAGGCCAATACTGAAGGCTATATTCGTATAACACGACTGCCTGTCTAGTTGTAAGCATAATTCAGAAATATCCGATATAATAGCCCAACTTTTTGCTGTGAATAACTATGATAGGCATAGACTAAAATAGATATTCCGAAGGGTAAAGATTGTTTGCTAGCGATAAATTGTCATTTGGGTACACCATGAATCTGGTTAGCACGCAGGGCTCTTGATCCTGATATCCGAGTTTCAAGCCTCTCAAAAAAAAATTTTTTTTTTCATTTTATATAACTTCTTTAATATCAAAATGTATATGTTTTTTATTTGAAAAAATTCACTGCAGAATGCATATAAACGAAATGTTGAAAATAAATACATATATTCTACATATTATATAAAAAACAAGTCCTGGACGAAAAATAATAAAAAACAATTCAATTTTTTATGAACTTCATTCACGGAATTCTTTGATTTACAATTAATTTCGTCGAAGAACCTGAGGGATTCATGACCTATATTTAGTATATGTATGTATATTGTGCATATAATTATTCTCGTATATATGTGTGTATGTAAATATTAACACATATATCTTAGTAGTTCTGTACAGGCTATCAAAATGAATGAGCTAAATAATTTTTGCTTAAAAGTATTAAATTCAGATTTTTAAAAATATACAATATATAATTCGAACCACAAAATGAAGAGACTCATGAGTGCACTTAACCTAGAACAAATATTAATAAGTTGTCTCAAGCCAATAGAAATATAAATAAGTAAAACTGGGATATGTGTAACTGAAAAATGCACGAATTATACATATTGAATTAAAGAAAGCCAAAGCGTTGGTGGCTGAAATGCGCAAAAATAAAGAAAAGTGAAACAAAAAATAAATGCAAAAACTCTGAAACTTGGCGCGCAATTCAATTGGTCGTGAATTCTTAATGTTTCGAGGGGTGTCCCCCCTTAACCCTATACCACGTGGAGCGCGAATTAGGTTAGGGCAGGAATATATTAGTTTTCACAAAACGCATGTCATGAAATTCAGCATAAAACAGTTAAAATGAGCCGCACTCGCCGTTTTTATATATATTTTTCATTGTAGCATATTAATATTTTGTAAGATCAATGTTTATGTGGGTTGTTAGTGCTACTTATTTATTTTTTATTTTTCTTTTCGATTGCTAAAAGAGAAAAACACAAAACGCGGCGTCTTGATGCGCAAGAACACAACCAACGAGCTCCGACGTGCAACGAAAACTGTGCGTTTAAGGACATTTACGATTGATTTTATACCGAATACACGACTGGCTACTTTCTCCGAATACTGCTATTGCCTTTGGCCTTGTTATTGTTGTTATTGCTGCTGTTGTTTTTGTTGTTGCAGTTGTTGTTTATATTGTTCTGACATGGAAAACTTCGTTCTGTGAATGAGCCGAGCGACCGAAAAGGGAGCTGCCGAGCGTTCGAGCAGCCGAGCTACATTTCGGAGTAAAAATGTGCCAGGCTGGGCTTGCGTATTCCAGCAGGTTGTTTTTGTTTCGCACTCTTTTTAAAATAACGTTATGATTTTTACCTAACAAGCATCAGTAAAAAAGAGCCTACTGATAAGCGTATTCAAATGCTTTGGCACAAATCGCCAAATATTTTGAAATAAAATAAACAATATTTAATTCAACACATAATGTGTATTAAAATTCTTAAATTTTCTGCTAATTAAAATCTGGCTAAGTTCACTGGCGTCTTACTTGATCCTTCAAGCTTTTTCTATAATATTTATTGACAAACGAACATGACTTTCTGAATAAACAAATGCAAAAAACTTTCTATACAGTCATTGATAAAAAAGGCAACTTTTATTAGAACGAATTTTACAAGTCTTGTTTGTGAAATTCTTTTTTAAATATAAATGGTATATTTACAATGAGTGCAGCTACCTAAATATATCTATTTCTAATCAGTATAAATTTAAGACTTGTTAAAATTGAATGATAAGGCCAATTGAGTGTTTATTGACCCTATTTACCCTATTGACCCTATTTATAAGTCTATTCCACCAAAGAAAGCAAATGACAAATACTCCACAAGAATCCAAAAAACATAATTCATTTTTTTAAATTTTAATTAATTACCTATGTCATTTTCTAAGTAAAATTACTGAAGATATCTGATCGTTTAGAAGTCGAATAGAAATTTGTAATATTAAATTCAGCAAATCAATCGCAACATATAAAAGCTGATAAATAAATGATACAAATAAATAAATAAATAAATAGTGCATTAATTCTGTTTGTAAAAAATTTCGTTTTTTTTGTGATCAGTGTTTTATGCTGAAAGAAAGCAAATTACTGATGGAATCTGCACAGTGGTTCCATGGTGTAATGGTTAGCACTCAGGACTCTGAATCCTGCGATCCGAGTTCAAATCTCGGTGGAACCTGAATCCAAAAAATAATTTTTTATTTATTTTTATTTTTTTTTCTTTAATTTTTTTGTTCTTCAATTAAAGACAATATATTTACTAAAAGTTGCTTTTGTTTACTCATTTATTCTATTTTCCGCCAAGTCATAAAATTGTAATGAATTTGTATTATTGACTTTTTGGTCGAAGATCATATGGGTTCCATGGTGTAATGGTTAGCACTCAGGACTCTGAATCCTGCGATCCGAGTTCAAATCTCGGTGGAACCTAAGTTTCATATGTTTTTTTGATATTAAAATATTATTTATTTTTATTATACATTATATTTTAAGAGTATGCATTGGAAATTTAGAACAACTGTTCAGAGCTTGCCAAACATATATTCACAGGTGTATAAATTCCACAATGCGCCAAAAATCGAAATACTAACACAGAAATATGTATAGCTATTATTCAGCACACACTAAATACAGTAGATTTACTTTCAGAGTCCCGGACTTACCCTTATCTCTGAACAGTCTCCGGTATGCGAGCCATTCGTCGGCTGTGAAGCTGGATGGATGCTCGTGTCGTGTGTAAAGATGCAGCCAGTCCGGATACGAGGACCAAATCAATAAAACAATCTTTACCAATGAGATGGTAAACATTAAACTCAACACTATTGCAATCAATACTTTCAGCGAGCCTTTCAACATAATAAAAAATGCACAAATACTCCACGATTACATGAAACCCAAAGCGTTAACGCTTTTGAGTAAAATTCGACTCCAAAGCACTTGTAAATTACTCTGATTAATATTTAATACTTATACATTGACATTGAGTGCAGCGGAGCAAGCAACGCATATGGCGAAGAGCAAATCATTTCGAACTTATTTATTTTCAACAAAACGTGTTAATTATTTTATCAGCTTTTAATTAATTGTTTTGGAATATATTTAAGTTTTTAAACACAAAAACGAAAAATGGCAAAGAAAACAACAGACTTGTATTTTTGTGTGCGCGTTTGTGTTTGCGTTTTTTTACTGAACAGCTGATGTGCAAGGTTACCAGAAAAATATGTCCAACACTCTGGCAGCCCTGCTTGCCGATACAAGAACCATGCAGCAAACAGAAATATTTTTGTTCTTTGTAAACATATTATTAACATAGTGAAACATTTATAAATTGAATGAGGTAATTAATCTTTATGAATAATATATTATTACAATAATAAAAAAAATTAAAAAATTATAACTCAGGTTCCACCGAGATTTGAACTCGGATCGCAGGATTCAGAGTCCTGAGTGCTAACCATTACACCATGGAACCACATGCCTGCTGAACGAAAAATAACATAAAAGATGTTCGCAGTGCATTGGAAGATAAAATTAACTAGTTTATTAGAAACATTAAAAAAAAAAAAACCAAACAGCTAAAAATTCTAAACGATGAAAATATATCTTTAACTGTCTTAAATTTGATTGATTTCTATTTAAAAATGTTACTAAATAAAAATTAAAAAAAATTATTGAACTCAGGTTCCACCGAGATTTGAACTCGGATCGCAGGATTCAGAGTCCTGAGTGCTAACCATTACACCATGGAACCACATGATTGACTTGCGTCAAATGCTGTATACAATTTAGCACATGATTATAAAATATAGTGTCTGAAAGCTTTCACGATACAATTGCACGTACATAAGCTGGTTAGTACGACACTGGAAAGCTCAAATGTAATTTCTTATAAACTCGGACATAATTAGTTATCATTGTGTTTCTTTTAGACATTTATTTAATTTTTTTTTTGTTTTCGTAAGCATTTATCACTAAAAACCTAAATAAATTTGCCAGTTCGTGTGTTTTCCATGTCCATTATTAACAATCCGGGTGAAGGCCAGTTATCAGTGGGATGGGGTCACCTAGCCGTAATAAGCGTATGGGGACGCATAGCCCGAGTAAGCAGAGTAGGCATAGGGACTGGCACCATAATAGAACTGAGGTGCTGGGTCTGGGCTGGCCACTGGAACTGGAGCGGGAGCAGCACGGGCAACAGGCGCTGGCACAGCCATGGCAACGGCGAACAAAGCGGCGAAAAGGACAACGAGCTACAAAAAAAAGATGTGTTAAAGATAGTTTCTGTGTTTTCTATCTATTGACTCACTAGCTTCATCATTTTGACAGATTTAGTTTGTTGGAGAAACAGGTGTGATGTTTTTGAAACAATTGCAGATTGAGATTTGATGTTGACTGATCGGGCGCAGTCTCTATTTATACCCGAAACAGATTCTCATGACTTATTTATGAAAACAACCCAATTGACATCACTTCTTGCTCATTCTCATATTCGCATTTATTTCACTTTTATTTGGCACACATTATACCTAAAGAGTTGTTAATAGTTTTGTCAGCAATCAAAGTGGCTTTGCATTCTAATGCCTTCTTATCGCGCACTCGTGTTTCGGGAACAATAGGAATGCCAGTACTATATGTGTATATATGTACTTTGTCTCTTTATCTTTGTATATGTGAATTAGCTCGAGTTCTGAGGCTGACCTTCAAAGTGATTGGTACATTGTGTTGATTCTGTGGCTTGCCAAACATATATTCGAAATGCATCTTGAATATTAATTGACATTTTTTAGGAGAAGGCTTGGAGCGTAGCTCTGATCACATTTGACAGCAATTAAAGTGATAAATGATTAAGTAATTTGAATAAAAAAAAGTTCTAAATGACAACAGAAGCTAAAACTGTTCCTTCAGAATATCAATTGCGGACTTGGCCAAAAATAATAATAAATAAATGCAGATAAATTATTCGCAAGCATTATATGTAGACGCATTGGTTTATTAAGAGAACTATTTGTTTACTTAATATCTTTCAAGACTGAGATAGGAGGTCAAGAATGCATACACAATGGATACGCATCCTTAATTCCTCTGTACAACAATGATTTTTCATATTTTCCGAATCTGACAAGTCCTCTCTTATAAGAACTGTTGAATAGCGAAGTTTAAAATATCTGAAAACAAACGTTAATATGAGAAATAACTGAACGACTTCAATTTAACATTAACCCATCAATATTGAAGAGAAGTAAATATATTTATTGCTATACTCATAGAGATATGGCAAAAAGTAGATATATTAATATACACACATATATGAAAGAGATTTCGCCAATGACTTCGACAAAATGTCAAGAGCCCCAAATAAAGTGAACCGAATGAGTTTGCAAAATTCGCTAATTGCATATTCGAGTGGCATATAAGAAGATTAAATATCTTTTTGGTTTATTACAATTATTATTAGGCGATGCGCATATTCAGTCAGCCCGTCTAACTTGTTATTACTATCTATGCCTATTTTACTTCTATATTTTCTTTTTTGTTATATCCAAGATATATCAACAGTGATTAAGACTAAGCTTTCAAATGACCATAGACTGTATATGACATATATGTGATATATATGATATACATATATATATGTTAAGTGAAGCCTCCTTGAATAATGAACACGTTCCGTGGAGAAATGTCTGCTTCTGAAAGTATAGAAAGACTACAGTCATCTCTGTGCATTGGCAATTATTCAGGTAAAGCTTTGCGCCTCGATGACGTCTTCGACCGTCAAAGGAGGAACGCGAATTGAATGCAAAATTATTGTCGCCTTTCATTGCAGCATATATAAACCTGCATTCAAACAAAGAAATCGCACAGTTGCCTACAGTTAAGATATCTTTCAACATGCTGAAGCTGGTAAGGACATTTTTAATGGAGCGTAGATAAAAAGAACTAATTTTTTATATTTCTAGGTGTTTCTGCTGCTCGCTGCTTTGCTCTCCCTGGCTGTGGCTGCACCTGCGGCAGCACCGAATCCCAACCCGAGTCCACAACTGTTTTATTCAGCGGGTTATCCAGCTGTGGCCTATGCATCCCCTTATATTTACTATGGCTAACCAGCCCCTATAAGCAAAGACAATAAACATTTTTCAAGCTCTCAAAAAGTTTTTCTATTTAAAACAAATTAACTCAGCTTTGTGAATCAGCGGAGTGCCAAGAAGGATATCTACAACTATATCTCACATGCCCCATGTACCATGTGCAATGATCAGTAGAATTTCTTAGGCCACTTTGACAAAACGATATTGTAAGATATTAATTTTGAATCAGTCAGACACAGTTTTAGTGCTGTTCAAGCATGGACATATATTGATGGCCATCTCCTGACGTCATCAAGTGGACTGCGACCATTAAACAATTGAGCATGGAGAAGTGGGAAGCCATGACAGATATAGATAGATATAAGTTATTAGTTAAGAATTTGAAGTAAAGGGCATCTCTTAGTATCCCCCATTCTTATCAAATATGAGTTGCAACATCTTCTGCAGGCATGTAGCTTTCACCCGATTGCAATATGCTCTGGAATCATCTGGTCTAGATCTAACGTCATCCTTCCTTATCAACACATGTTGTTGTTGTTTTATAGGCTTATCATCGGAAGCGGACACCCTCCCCCCCTTTATCACACGAAGCGGAAATCCTTATCTATAACGGATGATACGAGACATTCATTCACAATATTGTCCAAAAATTAACTGTTGGTTAAGGTATATTAATAGGATTTGATACTTATTTTAGGTCTTCTATTACAAGAAAAGATCTAATAAATAACAAACTTAAAAAAGTCGAAAGAGCGAAGACAGCAACCATCTCTTAATAGACATACTGTGAAGACAGCAACCATCTCTCGATTGACTTACAGTTAAGACAGCAACCATCTCTAGACAGACGTACAGTGAAGACAGCAACCACCTCTCGACTGACATACAGTGATGACAGCAACCATCTGTCGATTTACATACAGTGAACACAGCTACCATCTCTAGATTGACATACAGTGAAGACAGCAACCATCTGACATATAGTAAAGACAGCAAGCATATCTAGGTGACAAATAGCGAAGGTAGGAACCCACTATAACGTGACAAGCATCAGATACAACAACCATATCTATAGTGGTACTAGGGAGTTCCTCAATTACCAGGCTTCTATATCCCTTGTACCACAAACTTATTAAAATGATTCGTAATGTAAATTTAATGAAAGCCAATAAATGTTCACACTGCAAAAATCTAATTTACTAAAAGATAGATAAATTTGTATGCTATTGACAATTATTTTAAAAATTATTAACATATGTCAATAGTGTAAATTTTCATCATTGAAATGCTTAAACAGCAGCCCGCATTCCAGTCTTGTGCAACATTATTTCTATTATTCAAACTGTCAAAAAGTATGCAATGCTAATTTTACTGCTTATATCATTTTTGATATTTTGTTTTGTAACAAGTCCTGTGTAATCTCAAACGCCATCTATAGTATATGACAGCTAACCTCATCTACACTGAATATAACTTAATTTCTTAATATTTGTATTTTATAGGATTGTACACTTGGTGTTATACGATGTGATTTGGTGAACTCCAACTTTGCATACAGTATTCCAAATAATTTCTGTTATATTTGTAAGGCAATACGTTTCTTGTTCACTATCCTATGTAAGTGTGCTAAAATTTGAGCTTTAAGCTTTATGCTACCCCAACGTGAAAGCTTATATATTTATGAATCGTTAAATTCCCCAGCATACACTTCGAATGCTTAGCAACATTTTCAATGTTGCCAGAACGAAATGTTGCGAGTAACGGCTTGGACGACACATTGTCTACAGACTGACGAAAATAAAGGATTCCACAAGAGGCGAAATGTCCTTCAGTACATTTTCTGATTTCGCACTGATTTGAACTGGACAGGAACGAAATCAAGTGTAAGCTAATTACAACTAAAGTTGAAGCTGAATCCGCGTCGCATCGCATCGTGTCGCTTCGGCACTGGTAGCCGAGCAGCAGGTCCTGTCGGCTAAGCATTTAAGGTTTCAGTCCGTTTTTGGCCCTCGGTTCAAATGGATCACGAATCGCAAAGAACAATTTGGACAATTAATACCGAAGCTAGCGCGAGTCTTTTACGTATTTTGAGTGGCCAATGCCAATGTGATAAAAGGTGGAATCACTAACTACAAATACAAATACAAAAAGTGGAGTAGTTGGCAAGGACATGTTGCCGGAAACCAAGTCTTTGACGTGCCAAAGGTGCTGTGTTGAGATAAGAATAAGCGAGTCCTTCGCTGTTCATGGCGTTGATGAAGATGATGTCATCCGTGCGTGATTCGCCTCGAAGTGAAACCGAAAGTGAAAGTGAATGTGTTGCTAGCCTAACTATTTCGGCTTTTGGCAACCAATGAGTAATTTGTTTTTGGCCTAGCCACGCCTCTTTGGGACGCTGTTATGTGTCATTATCCTGGTGAACCTAAGTGAATAACGCAATTATCGCAAATCGAAAGATATCGGCAATCATTTAAGGGATTACGTCGCCTTGCAAAAATACTCATAAATCGCAACTACTCACGCAAAAAGGATCAAAGGACACAATATTAAATCTCATACGTAACATGGATATATTCATATTGTTTTGCTGTCTGCTTCAGCTGGCAAGAATTGGTAAGAAATGTCTAACAAAATGGAATAAATAATTTCCTCTTCGATTATGATAACATTATCTTCACTTCTCTCAGAGTTTCGAGTCCTCGACATTCGAAAAGGAAATAAATATTATAATCTGATATTCTGATATTACTATAATTTAACAAATATAAAATGCTTAAAATATTTTAAGCAAATTACTTCGTAATGTTTCCCGCACATTTCTTCTGAAATGTAAATACATAAAAATTAGTTAAATAATTTAGAGCGAACCTGCTTGAATCTGGTTAGTTACTTCTAGTACTGCTTAATTCCACTTAAATAGTTAGCTCGACAAATTGTTCTTAAGAATTTATGAATGAAAGAAGAGCTACATTAATATAATATATTTTTTAAAATGCATCCCGTTGTCTGTTTATTTTCTGACTATCACAAAACTTAACAACACTTAATCAAAAAATTAAAGTCTTTTCTTCAGATAGGGTCCAAATATAGCCAATTATTTTAAATAAACTTATAGGTAGAAAAGTTAATAAAAATTAATTTAAAACAGCTATGAACTCGTATAAATTTTAACAGTAAACCAACTGAACGTGCTTCCATCTTTATGCGTATATCCTGTATGTCCTGTGTGTACTATATATACAGTATGTACTGTTTGTGCGTTGTTTAATTACAGTCTGTCGAAATAAAATTCAAGTCATTCAAAGAGCTCAAATGTATAAAAAAGCTATGAAAATTCATAAATATTAAAAATGTCGAAGAGTTTTTAAGTTTTTTAAATGGGATTGTAGCAATTATTAAATTTAAGACGATACGAAAAATTGAATCATGTGTAGGTCAAAACGGCTAAACAAAACGAGGCTGAAAATTAATAAATATTTACAATATATATTTATTAATTTTAACAATTTTTAAATAAACGGCAAACTGTTTGAGCCCTATATGACAAACATACATTGTCTTGTCTTGGAAGCTTATTTACACATACAATTTTTTTAAAAATGAATTGATCTGTTTTTTGAGTTTGTGTCAATAATCAGTTGGAGAGCAGAATGAGATGGGTATAATTCAATCGAGAATCTGTGGATACTATTCCATTCATAATGTCTAAGTTTTACTCAAAAAAGGTTAGGCTTCGGCTAAAGCTAAAATTGTGAGCAGTGAGCGATTAAGAAACACGAAGTTTTAGTTTTCAACTTTCTTGCTTACTTCAGGCAAATTATATTATCCTGTATGGATTAAGAGTATACACTTTTTTTGGGGGATATAATGATTGGAGCAGAAGAAGTGGTGTCTTACAAATGAATGTGAATGTCTTACAAATGTTCTAAGACAGAGTCGAATACTTTCCGTTTGCCCTTGGAAGGCGCGGAAGTCCGACTACCAGCACAAAACCCTCTGATTATTGCTTAGCTAATTAAATTAAACAAGTGTCAATATTTTAGTATCTGATGAGATTGGTGAAATTGATTTCAGCAAATGTTGTGTGTCATATTCATATTCCTTTACACACTTCCATCTGTTATCAGCCGTGAAAATATGATACACTCAAGCAATTCTTTGTCTTAGCAGCTGCAGTCTTTGGAGTCGTGGAGCTGGAGAATTCCTCAACAGCCAGCATCGATATATTGCCTCGTGATCTAACGTCGCCGCTAACCCTGACGCCGTCGACGCCGTCGATAACGCATTTTGTTAATGACTCCTTCATCATATTTTGCAAAACACAGCATACGAGTATTGACACCAAGTGGCGTGATCCCAGGGGCCAGACCCGTGAAAATACCAAAGGCCGCGTGCACATTGAAAGGAAGACGGGTTAGTTCTTTGAGAAGCTTAAGAAACTGATCCATTTATCCATATATATGATTTATATTAGGTCAACTCGCCCTTGTCTTTGAACACATTTTACTTGACGACAAGGGCAACTGGACCTGCGAAACGGAATCGACTGCGGCACGAGAACCACGAAAATCCTTTGAGCTTCTTGTCAATCGTAAGTTATTTATTTTTTATATACATTAAAAAATAGTGTGATTGACAAGTTGCAGTCATGTGCTGGCGACTGTATAAGAAGAGAAGTTCAGAAACGCTCCGTCCACACGTGAGGCTGTTAGCATATAATTTATATTTAATTGGTCGGAGGTTGTACTCAAGAGTAAATATTCAAAATGTTTAAAATATAATACTTTCGTCGATCTGTAGAAACTGTTGACAATATATTATAAATTTCGAATAAAAAACAAGTCAAGGCACACAGCTGGACCGAGTAGAAGCCAAAATACTCTTTTCTTGAACAAAGAACCATGGAAAAAATCTTAAGCCGAATGGCTTAAAGAATTTAAAAGCAAACTTTAATTAGTATTAAAGGCTCAGCATCTCCAATAAAATGCATAAAAATGAAAATTAGGTATTTCATTTAAATGTTTTGTGTTAATTGTTTAACCAGGTTTTAGTTCAAAAATTGTTTCCAGTTACACTACAATCGAACTTATAAATGTGCTAAAGATTACTTTATTTAAACACTGTGTGAGTCATTCAGCCAGCCAGAAAAACTAACTAAATAATTGTAACAACTCGAACATTGTGTGGTGCATATCCAAATGAACTCGCTCTGCCTGCCACTGTCTTACTTTGCTATGGTCCAATTTGGATCCAGCAGAAAATGATTTGATCTTTCTCTTTATTGATAACTTTAACACCTTTAAAGTTAGATTTTTCCAATGGGAAACCTTACCTATTCATCTTACCAGTTGCCTAATCAATCATTAATTTGGGTCAAACAATCACCAGTTTTTATATTATTTTTACAATTTTCCTTCTTTTCCCAATCGACAAAAAGAAAAAATTTCTTTTGACAAGACGGAGCAAGTGCAATCGGTGCGCGAGGGACGCGACGCTTTGGTGAATTGCTTCGTGCACGGTCAACCTGTACCAGAAGTCTCCTGGCTGCACAATGGCGAATACATTAATAGTTAGTAACATATCACAGCACTGTTAAAGGTAAACAGCTGCTAAATTTATATTCGTTAAACTATTTAGCTGGCAACTCCTCCAAACACAAACGGCTCTCCGATGGACTTTTCATCAAGAATGTTAGCCAATCGGATGCAGGAGAATATACATGTCGAGCCATGAGAATAACACCTACTTTTTCGGATTCGGATCAAATAACGATACTGCTGCGGATACAGCGTAAGTGTTATTGAGACTTCCTTAAAATCATTTATTATTTCCTAATAATTGCTATGAATCATAGTGGAATGAGCCTTATCTATATTGATTCTATTATTATTATTATTATTATTCTTATTATTTTTATTCTTATTATTATTATTATTATAATTATTATTATTCTTATTCTTATTATTATTATTATTATTATTATTATTATTTTTATTTTATTATTATTATTATTATTATTATTATTTTTATTTTTATTTTTATTTTTTTATTATTATTTTTATTCTTATTATTATTATTATTATTATTATTATTATTATTATTATTATTATTATTTTTATTTTTATTTTTATTTTATTATTATTATTATTATTATTATTATTCTTATTATTTTTATTCTTATTATTATTATTATTATTATAATTATTATTATTCTTATTTTTATTTTTATTATTATTATTATTATTATTATTTTTATTCTTATTATTATTATTATTATTATTATAATTATTATTATTCTTATTCTTATTATTAGTATTATTATTATTATTATTGAGGAACTGGCGAGTCTCTGTTGAACCATTCCACGGTACAGCATCAGTTGCTCTCACTATTGTCTATAAATTATATCAGATTCATTTTCAATTATAAAATATATATATAAATTCATTTCTGGCTACGTGAATGAGATATGCTTCTCAGTTGATTTCAATTTCCCCAGACACTTTTCGAGTCTCATAAACACTATTGGCAAGTTGTGAAGGTACTCACACCCAATCTAATTGTTTGCTAAGCTTATTTGTCGTTGATATATTCCAATCAATATGTGAACTTTTATAAAAACTGCTGACAGTTGTCTAAACGGCTCCAATTAAAACGTGGCTCGCATAACATGAGCAATGGGCCAACGCCTGCTCTATAAGCAAACTAACACGAAACCAGAAAATTGGCAGCATTCATTTGCCTTTCTTCCTGAATTCCCTCTTTGCAATAGCAATTGAGTTGCCATTACCGTCAAAATTGTCCTAATGACTACCTGCTATCTGCTACCTGCTACCATCAGACTAAGCTGACCACCCACTGACCACCCACAACTGAGCAAACAGCAGCCAATGGATGACGAAACTAATTTGTATCCCACTCGAAATGTTGCAAATCTGCAACATACGAGCATGTTTGCATTTCCTGAGCAATAAAACCAAGGATGACTGCAATGACGTCGACAAGGACAAGAACCGGCAAATGCTAAAATGGGTCATCAGCTTACTCTTGAATGGGGCATGGGAGCTGTCTGTTGGCAGCTGCTGCCTCCCCAATCGGTTGGATTTTTAAGACAACTACAAAAGGCCTGGCTTCGCTGCTCTGCCTAGCTGCATGCACATGCATATGCATGCGGGTCTGGTCTTTTAGATAGCACCTAACCCGCCTCAAACATCCTTTCGTCCATTATTTCAGACAAGCCTCAGTGGTTCTACAATGAAACGTTGCCGATGCAATATGCCTATGTGGGTGGCTCCGTTAATCTAAGCTGCGATGCGATGGGTGAACCACCGCCATCATTTACGTGGCTGCACAATGGCAAAGGAATTGTGGGTTTCAATCATCGCATCTTCATGGCCGACTATGGAGCAACGCTGCAGCTGAATATACGCAACATCAGCCAATTCGGGGACTACAAGTGCAAGGTGGCTAATCCTCTCGGCATGCTCGAGCGGGTCATTAAGTTGCGCCTTGGCGCCAAACCCATTGGACCCACACGCTTCCAACTCAAGCGGCTCTATCCGGATGGCTTCGAGTTGGATTTACGTACGCCACGTATGGCCAATGTCTCAGACGAGATGCAAATCTATGGATATCGTGTTGCCTACATAAGTGAAAGTGATTTCAAATACAGCGCCGGCAATTGGAGTCATGCCAAGCAGAGGGATTTCTCCTTTCATCGTGGTAGGTGATCACACACACATCTATATAACATTTAAATTGTATTAACTTTGCCATATCCATATATTGCTTATTTTATTCGCAAACTTCAAGATTTACAAACTTCGAATTTGAAATAATTATTTTTCTATGATATTTTGTCTCACTTCCTTATTATCTCAAATTTAATCATGTGTACCAGTATGAATATATAAAAGGTGAAAGAAGTGTGTATACACACACATTATATATGTTGAAATAAGCTATATTCAGAACTTATATAGCTGTATAAAGTCATTGCTATCTACTAGTCTATCTCCCGTCTCGAGCAATCCTAGTTGATTTATATTGCATTTTTATTCATGGTGAACCAATTGAGAATTCGAAATCAGAGTATAATGGCTTAGGTAAAATATAAATTACGTATATTCTTGATCAGGATGACGCGCTGATCAGATCAAGACATGTCTGTCTATCCGTCTGTCAGCCTGATGTTCTGTCCGTCCGTATGAACGCAGCGGGATCGTAAGCCCCAAAAGCTTTTACATGTTCCTTTACTTTTATTTTAAGTTTGTAACGTAGCCTTCGAGCAATTGACGTAGAGGCAATCCACGTTGCCGGGGAGTTTATGAGTTCAATTAATGGCGACTTGATTTTTAAAATCAAAAATTCTTATGAGTTTCGGGCACCACGACTAGAGCTTTGTATTATTTTATCAGATAGTTTAAGTGGCAAATTTTGCAGTTGTTTTGTCTGAATAACGTTTTTGCTTAAAAATACAAAATGCATATAACAAGCACAGCTTAGTATCCATCCTAGGCCATTAAATTCTTAACAAAACTATTTTGACTTTGCAGGCCATCGTTTCATCATACCCCATCTGGAGGCTAATACGACATATTTATTGCGCGCTGCCTCACGGAATCTGGCCGGACTCAGCGATTGGAGCAATGTGAAGATTTTTGCTACAGCAGCTGCAGCTTCGCTCTGGAATCCCTATAGATGGTGCTACTGCGTTTTGTTAGGACTGGCTTTGTTTTGGCGCTAGATAAATACGGATTATGAATCAAATCTACTGTAGTATTAGTTTATATTGTTATTAGGAATTATTGTTGCTAATTTTTGGTAAGTTGAGTTTTTGTGTATCTTCTGTGATAGACTTTTTGTGCAATCCAATTATCCAAAATGGAGAATGCTTTATAATTCCTTTGATCATTGCCAATTTTGCTGCCAACATTCTGTACTTTTATTACTGTAGCTTAGTTTCATTTTTTGATAACTGGTCTAATGGCAATCCAACGGTATACATACATATATACATACATACATTAGTGCATTCATATGTCAAGTCTTTAATAAACTCGTTTAATGTCAATGCCTCAATCTACATCAATGTTTTAGGATAAGCTCTCCCCAACAAAAGAAAACACTTTGATGAATTTTACAAAAGTCCAAACAAATGAAACAAAAAGAAAAACCTACAAAAATAACGAAATGAATGTTGTTGAATGAAAAGCAAAGAAACGATAAAGAGCATAGCAAATCAATAATAAATGTGAATTCATTTAGGCCTAATTAAATGAATATACAATATAATAAACTGAATTAAACCACTTAGATGATAAGTCGAGGATCTGATTAATATGAAAATAAAAAGTTTAATGTGTAAAGCGTGTTCATACGATATATGGTATCTGGTATATGGTGTATATGGGGTGTATGTTATATATGGGATATATAGGGTATATGATATATATGGGGTATATGGGGTATATGGGGTATATGAGGTATATGAGGTATGTGGGGTATATGGCATATGGAGTACTTGGTCATGAAAGCCTCTACGTACCTAACATTTATATCTCTGGTCGATGACGTACGAAATGTTTATACACACACATTTGGCTAATAAGTTGAAGTCTGAATCAATTGAAAGAAATTTCTCATGCGAAGCCACGTAAATTTAGTAAGCTCTTGGATCCATCACGGACTGATACTGTCTTCGCAAGGCATTTTTCTGTTTTCCATTTCTCCTGATGTACAAATTTTGCTTCCAAATTAATAGTTGTTATTGATAATCGTCGAATACAACGAATGTGTGTGCAGTCGTAGGTAGTTGTGACCACGTTTGCTGAAAATCAGTAAACAATATTACTGGACGAAGAGCGGCACATAGTTTGCGCGGACATCCTATCGTAATCAGAAAGGTTTATTTTAATTAAAATTTACAATTAATATTTAATGAGTCGGGAAACAACCATGCAGGAGACAGCAACCAGGAGCCAGATGCCAGGAGCTGCAACCGCCAACCAATACGTTCAGCTTGATGTGCATCAAATTGAATTTCAATAAAGCCACTGTAGGAGCAGCGACCCAGAAGATGGGTTTCTGCATTTAATGACGATTTTCTGAAAAGCAATTTCTCTCATGTCGCAGATTAAATACCAATTTACGCCATTCTTATTTAAGGCAATTTTAGTTTGGTCACAAACTGGAATACGCATAGTCGTAATGTTTTTTTTAAATAATATATATATATATATATATATATATATAATAAATAAATAAATATATATATATAAATATATATATATATATATATATATATATATATATATAATATATACATATATATAATATATATATTTATAGAAATATCAGAAAGCATATTTTAGTTGCACAACTGAGAAGTCGGTAAAGTCCGTTTTCCTCTTTGTGCTATAAATACTTTAATATCATCTGAAAAAAAATTTTTAAAATATAAAGACATTCAATGCAATTGGATTCGAATAAAAGTTGAGCTTTCAGATAAATTATATATATCAATATCAATATTGGGCAAATTCATATGGTAAAGCATACATTTATTATTTATTTAGTAAATAATTTATAAATATTTTTAATTTATGTACTGTGAGAGCAAAAATAAGTTAAATTTGGCCTACACTAATGAAAATATATTTAGGTCAATATTATTATATTAACATGCAAGAATGTTGCAGTCGGGCACAGCCGACTTCATAATACTCACCCACGGTCTAAAACTTTTTAAGATATGATTTTTCCGATGCAATAATGTTCCAAATATAACAGAATTTGTCCAAAACACCATATAGCCAGATCCGATTTGCCATGCCCGTAGTAGGCATGGACATAATTTTAGTTTTATGTATCAAGTTCTAGAAATTGGTAAATAAATCCTTTTTTTAATTTAAAATGAGCCGCACAACAAGAACAATTTCTTATCAAACGGGAGATTGAAAAGTAACCTATATATGTAAAGTCTATATCTGTAAATGACACTTTTTTTGTCATTAAGCCAGGTGCTGTGGTGGTTAAATGAAGATACTAACGATACAGGTGCAATTATGCAAAAAGAAAGCAAATTGTAATTAATTAAAATTAAATTTGTCATTAATCACAGGCATTTTACACATATTGCATATTGCCATCAATGTGCACGTTTTGTACATGCAAACAAATTAAGCCACAATGAAAAGGTAAAGGTAGCAATTGTGACAACGACACCTGCTATTTGTAGCTATTTATACGTCCATGTGATCAATTTGAATATTTGCAGCTTGAATTCGCATAAAATGCCATGATAATGTCGCTCTGATATCTTTTTATACTCGTTCACGAAGTGAAATGAGTACATTGGATTTGTGGATGTCCGACCTGCTGTCCGTCTGTAGATAAATATATAGTAAGTGTCAATTGGAATCGTGTCAGCTAGAAACTCTAAAAAACTTAGTTACTCTTGACTTTTGTCAATTTAATAACAGATATGGAACTAAAGTCCCAAATGCGAGCTAAAATCACAAATTACATAAATTACTTTTTTCTTTCAAAGTATTTAAGCTAAAGTTCAAGTATTTCAATTGGATTACTGTCTTTGTATTCCACATTGACCCCTTTAACGTATATAGTCCGTCCATTGGATTTAATGTAATTTCAACGAGTATTCTGCACTTGGTTGTGCTCGTCTACAACGTTGAAAAATGTTAAAAATTGGAATAATGTTTTTGTATATATCCACAAAGATACAGATAAAAGCGCTTGGGTTCTGAATTATATATGATAAGCATCTTAAAATCCAATCAATTAAACCTTTCACTTTTTTTTAAGGATATATAAAAACTTGATATAGAATAACAAACACACATTTTAGTATATAAGGTTTCCTAAATTATACACTGACTAGGAATGTTTTCAATTGAGAATTCCTTCACATATTTTCATTTGAATTAAAAAACAAGTAGGATGGAAGCAGGCAGCCCAACCGACTGCATAAGTCTGCCAGCTCCAAAACTTTGGAAGAAATTATGCTTTGCATTGCATTAAAGGGTATTTTCAATTTGACCCTTCCCAAATTAATTTAATTTTTTACTGAACATCAATGGGGGAAGTCAAGAATGACTCAATAATCGACTTTTCCAGCTCTACAAATTTATAAGATATACCCTTTGACTGAATATCTTTTAGATAGATGTGGGTTATAAAATATATAAATCCCAAATTACAAGTGTTGAATAGATAGAACAGCGTTTAAGGAAAACACTGTAAAGTCAGATATATATATACGACACGCTTATATATAAATATATATATATATAAATATATATCAATGTATTTTGTTTTTTCATATATTTAATACCTAAACTAAATCATATTTAACTGCCATAACCCACCCACTATTTGCTTAATCATAATAATATTAATGACAAGCTCAGCAATTAATTGATTTTGATGATGATGATTCAACTTGTGTAAGCTTCATACTTACTAAATAGCTTCATACTTACAATAACTCATTTGCAATATATTTTCTATCCGTCGAAAAGTACTTACCTAGAGAATGTAAACAATTAAGAAAGAATCAAATATAAATTGTCAATTTGCCATCCAGAATATTTCTCGGTTTCTTCACCTTTTTTATTACAAACAATCCGCACATAGCGGAAAAAGCAATAAAAATGCAAACAAAGCAAACGATGGCATTGACAGTCAACCGAAATAGCTCGGCCTCGTAACGAACAAAATCATCTAAATTAATTTTTTTTTTGCCATTTTCTTTATTTTAAATTAGATTACAATAAGAATACAGCAATGCAAGTTGAACAGTTTTCAAGTATTCACGTTTTATAGTATCTTAGCGGGAATTTCAACGCATACGATATCCACACTGTTCTGGTCCTTCAGCTCCCATTTAACAAGCACTGAGACTTTTGGGTAGCTCTTCAGTACGGGAAGCGTAGCCATATATCTGTAGGCTTCGTTATTTTCTAAAGGACATCTTAGACCGCTGTTAAGACAGGCATCGGGATTAGAGAGTGGAAAGGGCATTTCAATGCCTAAAACCTTGCCATGTACCACAGTTTTAACGGCTGAAGCCGTTTCGGCCAATGCAAAGTCTATCGAAATTGAAACATTGGTATTTCGCCGTAACAGACATTCCGGCTTTGTAGTATCACAGCCTTCGATAGTGACTTGAGTGAATTTGCCCGTCTTCGATCCACAATCTAGAAATTCTAGAGCTGTTCCAAGCTGCAGCGTGATAAGTAGCGACGAAATTAGCACGCAAAACGTAAACATCGCTTACGTTGATAAATTCAATTTTAAAGTTTAGGCGATAAGATATTAAACGCAAGCTTATACGTTTTTCTAGGCAATGCCTTAACTACAACTGAAATACGACTACAAAGCGACAAAGGCAAACGCTAATATCAGCTGCGCGCCTAACACTGTGCGAGCTGTGCTATCGATAGCAATGTAAAAGTCGAAAAGCCCGCCTCTGGAAACTTACAGAGTTCCAAGGCGAATTAATGAATTTAGTAATTATTTAGCAACAATGCATGTGAATTTTATTTATATAATAAAAATAAATATATTGCTCTTCATGTTATATTTGAGAAAAAATTTTCGCCTTTGCTGGCAGCTCAAAAATGAGTAAAGATATAGAGATATATGTCACATATAATATATGTGTGCGGTGCTAAACTAAGAATTTGTGTTTTATATTTTAAAATTAAATTTTGTGTATCTATTTTTCATCTTATCATCTGCCAATGAAAATTCCAAATACATAAGAGTAATGTTATTAAACCACAGGACTATCGAGTATTAGTAAACTAGTATCGATCGTATATGATTCTTTGCAATCGTTGATTGAAGCAATTGAAATTTAAATAAGCTAGATGGTATCTACAAAAATACCATAAGTGAGGAAAGGCGGTGGACGTATTTCATTTTTCAACAAGGATCTACTGCACTGGGCAGAGACTACTTACTACTACTTACTACTAAAATAAAAATATTAAAATAAAAATATATTTGTTTGATTATGTGCAGTGCTTATAAGCCTCGAAAAGTTGACTATCCAGTCCACAACTAAGAATAATTCATCGTCATGTGGTACCCGACTTTTTGTAATCGTGACACGAGTACGCAAGCTGTAACTTTTAATTTCGTATAATTATTAAAAACGCAACAAAGGTAAGCTCCGCTGCAAATCATCATCAACTGACTTATTTTTAAGTTCGTTATCTACGACCGTTAAAATGACGACTTAACGTGGTATTCAATATGCATGGTAATTATTTCAAAACAGCCTAAGTCGCGCCTATTTAGTAAAGTAAATTACTCACTCGATGTTAATCGATATATACAAAGTTGATGTTACTCAACACTGGCCACGAAATGTAATTTATTCTTGCACCTTACAAATTTGCAAACGCTTGAAAATCTGTGGGTTTCCATTTTATTTAAATTTCGCGCAAGTAATTCAAATATTTACTTTGAAGCTAGTTTAATCGTGTAGACGGCCCAGAGTCCGCGATTAAAACTGGAAAAGAGACAGCCAATCAGCACAAAGTAGAAAACAACGCCCAAAAAGAGGCGATAAAAAAGAAGGCGACTACGTGTGTGGTACTAATTTTCCGTTTAGCAGAATTTATTAATTAGATTTACTATGGCTGAAAAATACACTTTTGGCAACACACCGGCTGCCATAACGTGCCACGCCTGGAATAAGGATCGCTCCCGTAAGTGACGCAAATGTTGAGTAATATAAAGAAAAACAAACCTTTTAATCTATGACTCATTTTATACTCAGAAATTGCTTTGTCGCCGAACAACCACGAGATTCATATCTATAGCCGCGATGGCCACGGGTGGAAACTAGCCGATGTGCTTAACCAGCACGATTTGCGCGTAATGGGCATTGATTGGGCAAAAGACACTAATCGTATCGTTAGTTGTGCCGCAGATCGTAATGCTTATGTTTGGTCACAAGCGGAAGATGGGAAATGGAAGCCAACTTTAGTGCTTTTACGGATTAATCGTGCTGCTACTTGTGTGAAATGGTCACCGGCGGAGAACAAATTTGCCGTCGGTTCTGGAGCTCGTCTCATTTCGGTCTGTTACTTTGAATCAGAGAACGATTGGTGGGTGTCGAAGCATATTAAGAAGCCGATAAGATCGACGGTTACTTCGCTGGACTGGCATCCGAATAACGTGTTGCTTGTGGCTGGTTCCACAGACTACAAGGTACGCGTATTTTCCGCATTCATCAAGGACATCGAGGAGGCACCCACACCAACGCCCTGGGGTAATCGCAAGCCCTTGGGTCAACTCATGGCAGAGTTCAAGAACTCTTCAACCTCTGGTGGAGGTTGGATCAACAGTGTCAGCTTCTCTATCGATGGCAACAAAGTGTGCTGGGTGGGTCATGATAGCTGTGTGAGCATTGTGGATGCCACCAATGGGAATACGGTAATTCGCTGTCGCACCGGTTACTTGCCTTTCCTGTCCTGTGAGTGGGTCTCCCCCACATCAGTCGTTGTGGCCGGCTACAGCTGTGTGCCGCTGCTCTACAGTTTGACGTCGGATAACAAACTAGTACAAAGCGGCAAACTGGACAAGTCGCAGAAACGTGAAGCGGGTGGCATTACGGCTATGCATTTCTTTAAGTCCATGGATTGTAATATGCGCACCGAAAATACGGATGTAGTTGTGGACTCCATTCACCAGAACGCTATTTCCAGCATACGGTTGTATTCGGGTGATAAGGCAAGTGCCAAAAAGGTGTCAACCTCAGGAGTCGACGGACAGCTGGTAATCTGGACGGTCGAACAGGATGGCATCAATGGAGGCATGCGTAACATGCAGATCTGAGTACATCCCTAAAATCTGTGTTGGAACATTGTTTTCCCCATTTATGTTTTTCTTAATGTACCCTTCCATTTCAACTGCAGTAATTTAATTTGTATTTTTGTTAAGAACAAAATGTTAGTACCAATTCGGATGCGCAGTATTTTTGCCAAAATGTTAAAAAAATGAGTTACTTTTCCAATTGTTTATTGTATACAAGCTTTTTATATATATATATATATCTTAATTTTTAACAACAGAATAGATTGTTCTTTAATTTTTACAATTTAAATAACAAATGCTATGCATGCGTTTTAAATTGTTTTTATCTTTGGCAACGATTGATTACTTCAAATATTGGTTGCAATAAGAGACGGTTAAACCTTTCGATAGTACTGGTTTGTACTTTACAAAAGAGTGCTGTGAAGTGAAGTGAACATTAAAAATTTGTTGTATCGGACTGATCGATTGCGTCGCAAGTAAGTATTCTATAAGGAAAGTAACTGGCATTCCAGTTTTAAGTTATATTGTGACATTAATTAAGATATCAATTTGTTGAGTTATAAAACGTCACACACATTAGAAATTATTTCACGTATCACTTGAATAGTAGACCACAAATAAATATTATTTGATGAAGAGGACACAATGTCATTCCATTATCAATGTCTGTGGCGGCTGATCGATTGTAATTTCGATACATTTTTATTTATCACAATGAGCGCTGAAATTAGATGATATTCGTTTGAAAATAATGTGCCTTCGAGAGGTTTAATGGTAATGCGACTGCTACGTTGTTACGCTACTAAGGCTGGGCGTGAACATTACGCCAGCAGCAGCGTAAAGATCTATCGCAAGCAGATAGGCAAAACAAAAATAAAACCAGAACATGTGCTGCCTTCAAAGACGAAGGATTCCACTAATTCGGAGTATGCTGAAAACTTGGTGAAAGTGCAGATGATATCGCAGAATTTGCATGCTCAGCTCTTTCCACAAACTAAACGAGAGTACTCCGAATCAGAACATCTCGCCGCTAAAGCATATACTGCGGAATTGCTGCGTCATGGGATCGATGTGGCCAGCATATCGCCCATGCCAGATGTGAAGTTAAAGCTGCCGCCGTTGCGTGGAAAAAACATTGAGGAGCACTTTCTGGCTATAGCCAAAGAGCAGGTTGCACCCTATAAGACACTACTCCAAGCACTGGTTGCATGCAAGGAGCTTCCTGCAAAGCCCAAGCGTTGGGCTTTTTATGCCGGTTGGACGGCCTACGATCCAGTCGATGGCACTGCGACGCCCGTTGCACATCCACTCGAAAGAGGGATAATTTTCGATGTGGAGGTCTGCGTGCGTGCAGGCAAAGACCCAGTACTGGCAACCGCGGTGAGCACCAAGCGCTGGTACTGCTGGGTAAGTCCAAAACTTACAAAACATCGCTTAAATGTGCCGCACGTTGAGCCAATCGAGGTGGATAGCAATGAACGACCACATTACACGCTCGACGAGCTCATACCTCTCGGCCTAAGCGAACACTCCTTAGTAGTCGGTCACAATGTCTCTTATGATAGAGCACGACTCCGTGAGCAGTATCTGATAGAGGATACGAATACACGCTTTGTGGATACCATGTCGTTGCACATGTGCGTCAGTGGCGTCACGAGCTATCAACGAGCTATGCTCAAATCAAAGAAGGAACCCACTGCGGAGGATTTGGATTGGTTGGCCCAGAGCTCACTAAATAACTTAGTGGATGTGCATCGTTTGTATTGCGGTGGTGAGCCCTTGTCCAAGGAACCGCGAAATATATTTGTTGAAGGCACGCTGGAGCAAGTGCGACAACAGTTTCAATCTCTAGTGAACTACTGTGCCGGCGATGTAGAGGCGACACATCGCATTCTCTGTAAGCTTTATCCTTTATATGAAGAGCGTTTTCCACATCCCGTAACTCTGGCGGGAATGCTAGAAATGGGCTCTGCCTATTTGCCCGTGAACTCCAACTGGGAGCGTTATATTCGCGATGCTCAGTTAAGCTACGAGGATCTCAGTATTGAGGCCAAATACCATTTAGGTCGACGTGCGGAAGAAGCTTGTGCGTTGCTTCACGGTGAAGAGTATCGCAAAAATTTGTGGCTCTGGGATGAGGATTGGAGCGTGCAGCCGTTGAAGCTAAAGCAGCTGCCCAAGCGCAAGAAGGTACCCACTGTGCAGCTGTCAGAACAAGGACTCAGCGTTGAGCAGCTGCGATTGCAGCGCAAGTTCCAGCATCTTTATGAACAGCGTGCATTACTACCATCGCGAAGGCCCCTCCTGCCCGGTTATCCGCAATGGTATCGTAAGCTGTGCCGCAAGCCACCCCCCAGCTACAAAGCAGATCTGGATGAGGAGCCTTGGACACCTGGGGCTTGTGACATTAGCACTGGTATGCAGATAGCAGCCAAGCTACTATCCCTCTGTTGGGAGAGCTATCCGCTTCACTATCTACGCGAGCATGGCTGGGGGTTTCTAGTGCCTTTTCGCAGTTCCGGGAGTCAACTCAGTAGTGACCTGCCCATTCAACAACTGCTCGCACGCTGTGCCATTCCCGAATTTGCGCGCAAATTGGCTGTTGGAGAGGAAGCAGATCTAGCCATGGATCAGCTGCCCAAACAAATGGATGAACACCTAAGCAAGCGGCAGTTCTACAAAAAAATATCTCAGCGACAACAGCAACTCGAGAAGCAATACAAAGGTAAATGAAACTTTAAAGGAATTTGCCTTCATTATATATGTTCTCTGCTTTACAGGCTCTGGTGTCTGGTGCAATCATGTGATAGATGACTGCTGCTTCTTTTTGAAGCTGCCTCACAAAAACGGCTCTTCGTTTCGTGTGGGCAATCCGCTGTCGAAGGATTTTCTAAACAAGTTCTCTGAGAATGCACTCAGTAGTGGGGATCCTTCGTGCCAGGCTGCGACTCGTGTCGTTGAAATAGCTCGCATGATGTCCTATTGGAGGAACAATCGCGATCGCATTTTAGGTCAAATGGTGGTCTGGCTACAGTCAGAGCAACTGCCTACCGAGCTACAATCCTATGGACAACGTATATTATACGGGGCCATTTTACCCCAAGTCGTGGTTGCTGGCACTTTGACACGACGAGCTATGGAATCCACTTGGATGACTGCCTCCAATTCGCGTATCAATCGCATTGGATCCGAGTTACGTTCAATGGTACAAGCGCCACCAGGCTATAAGTTGGTTGGCGCCGATGTGGATTCACAGGAGTTATGGATTGCCTCTGTGCTTGGCGATGCCTATGCCCATGGTGAGCACGGTGCCACGCCCCTTGGCTGGATGACCCTTAGTGGTAATAAATCGAATGGCAACGACATGCACTCAATAACAGCCAAGGTAGCCGGCATATCAAGGGATCATGCAAAGGTTCTTAACTATGCGCGCATTTATGGCGCAGGTCAGCAGTTTGCTGAAACGCTTCTCCAGCAATTCAATCCATCTTTAAGCGCAACCGATGCCAAATCGAAAGCCATAAAAATGTTTACTGCAACGAAAGGCAAGCGTGTATATCGACTACGTGAAGAGTTTCGTGATGAGCTGGAAGACATAGCGTACGTCCACAATACGTTTAATAAATGCCTGTCTTATCCCTGTGCTTCATTCTTTTACAGTTACAGCAGCTATGATGCCAGGCGCTTAGCTCTGCAATGCAATCGTCCAGTGAATGAAATGTTCCATCGTCCTAGTTGGCAGGGTGGTACGGAGAGCGCTATGTTCAATCGCCTGGAGGAAATTGCTACGCGCGAACAGCCCGAGACGCCATTCCTCAGCTGTCGTCTAAGTCGTGCTCTGGATTCCCATGGGGAAGCAGATATGGATCAACGTTTTTTGCCCACTCGTGTCAATTGGGTGGTACAGAGCGGAGCAGTTGACTTTTTGCATTTAATGCTTGTTAGCATGCGTTGGCTTTTGGGTCCACATGCTCGATTCTGTTTGAGCTTTCACGATGAGTTGCGCTATCTCGTGAAGGATGAATTGGCCCCAAAGGCAGCACTAGCCATGCATGTGACTAATTTGCTCACTCGCGCCTTTTGTGCCTCACGCATTGGCTTGAAAGATCTGCCCATGTCGGTGGCATTTTTTTCTTCTGTGGAGGTGGACACGGTGCTGCGCAAAGAATGTACCATGGACTGTCAGACGCCCTCCAATCCACACGGCCTCCAAATCGGCTATGGCATTCCGCCTGGAGAGAGCTTAAGTATACATGATGCAATTGTCAAGGCGGGCGGAAATGATATTACTCAATGGCCATGGCTTCAGCGAACCAACAACTAGCAGCTAAAAACCCCTCATATGCATTGTTTTTGTTAAGAATATTGAGCAGACTGTTAAGATCTTCCAAACCTTATAGTGGATTTGTTAAAAATTTGAAAAGGAAACTTGTTTCAATAATACTACTTGATCAAACATTGAGCTGTTTTGAAATAACATATTGATAGAAGTTCCTGATGATACGCCCCCATGTAGTATACACATTTGTTTTAAATGTATTTTTATTTTTATATAGATTTATAACAATACAACTTATTTATCCAAGAGCTTTACATGGTGTATTTTTGCTATCGCTGCAGCTTAACGTACTCAATCAATTTCAAATATAATCTAATATGATTATCGCGAGTTAAAAGATATATAATGCCAACATATATACAAACATATGCCTAAGAAGAATGTTGTTAATATGAATAAAGCACATCCATCGTCCAACTACAACTTTTGGCCGAGCGTTTCGATCTCGTTGAGGAAATATAACATATCGGATTCATCCAGGCACGAGTTCTGCAGTACCAATCGGAAGAAGTTGGGCAATTTGCGCAACGGTTGATATGTGATCATCATGGAACCTTTCTTGATCATGGCCTCCTTAATCTTGGGCGCCACTTTGTGGAGCTTATCATAGAACTCCTGATTGCGCTCCATTTGTCGCAAACTGGGCGGCACGTACCAGAACGTAATGTTTGTGCACTCCGGCTTATCCAGCACTAGCTCGAATCCGGGACGCTCACGCAGCTTGTTTGTAAAATATTCGGACATTTCGAAGACCTGTTCCACATGCGCTTCAAAGCCTCTTGTGCCCTTGGCTTTCCACATGAACCAGAACTTGAAGACGTCCGCACGACGACCGCACTGAATGTGCTTGTCCCCTGTATCGAAAGATGTGTCGTAGAATTTATCCTTCTGGAACAGATATGCGGCATTTGTCGAGTGGCACTGGCTCAAAACCTGGGTGTGGCGTGTCAGGAAAGTCGAGCACTGCTGTGAGGCAGACAAAAGCTTGTGTGGATTCCAGGTGACCGAATCGGCGCTATTTAAGGAGTTTTCAATTTTAGCAGAAGAACTGCACATATTTTTCCTTCCCAACTTACCGTTCAATGCCATTTAGCAGCTTTCGATACTTCTTGGACATAAGTGCTCCGCCACCCCAGGCGGCATCCACATGCATCCACATGTTGTGCTTCTGACAAAGGTTGGAAATGCCCAACAAGTCATCGAAAGCACCCAGCACTGTGGTGCCCGCTGTCGCGGATACCATCAGCGGTTGCCAATTGTTGTCTAGGCACAACTGAATCTGTTCCTCGAGATCGCTCAGACTCATCTTGCCCAGCTCGTTGGTAGCTATCTTCCGTACATGCTCGCTGCCAAAACCCATGAACATGGCCAGCTTTTCGACTGAATAATGGGCATCCTCGGATGTGAATATTATCAAGGGCTTCGCATTAAACAACCCATTTTTCTGGAATAAATGAATAGAGTATTGTATAGAGATGATGATATATCAAATGTGTTTGATTTCATAATTAAATATTTAGTTTTCGGGACAGCTTTGATTAAAAACTGAACGCATTGCAAATGGGAGAATGCAGAAGGATGCGTACAGTATATATTCTTCAGATCAGAACAATGAGCTGAGCTTAGCTGATCTAGTCCTGTCTGTCCGTGGATCTGCCCTTCTGAGTGAGTTGTAATTGTTGTTGTAGCTCCGCCTATAAGCTTCTTTCAAGCTTCTTTCATATAATCGATAAATATTCCCGTTTAAATGCAATCGACTTAAAATGTCTCGTAAGCCTTTGGAGCTAGAATCTTCAAATTTTGTACAGTTTCTTATTTTTCCTATATTTGTGTTAGAGCTGTCAGTTGCTTTCTGAGGTTAGTTTAAGCAACTAGAAATGCTACAGTTTAAAGTGCTAGACTTCAAATTGGGGTATATAAGCTAGTTGATACACCAAGACTAATGTATATGCTGGGGACGTGCCAAATCGGGTAAAATTGTATCGAGACCAACAGTGACGGCAAATCAGATTTGAATATATATATTCTTTTTTACAAATTCTGTTATATTTGAACATTATTTGAGCTCGACATTTGGATTTGAATTTCTAAAATTGACGCCTGGCCGATACGAAACCCCAAAATTTGACTATTTGACTATTACGTTAAGGTGCGAATTCGAAAATATACTCTGTAGAATGCAAAGTAAAGATAGGGTAGGGAAATTATCTAATAGAATTGGATTAATAAAAGCAAAATTGAAATCTTGAGCTAAAGATTTGAATTTACATTTTGTGGCTATAGAAGTTGCACTTTCTTATTTTTCCTTTCAACCAACTGGAAGAAAATAAATATTTGCATAATATATATACTGTATATTTTTCGGGACTGTATACAAATAAATATCCCAAATTGGTAGTCTAGTATTTATAGTGCTAAAAATACAATTGGTCTTAAGACTAAACTCTATATAGTCCTTTCCGATTTGCGCCGCCCTTACCTTTGCCTCCGTAGGGGGTAGTTATTATATATAAAAGCATAACGTACCCCAGCCCCAACAGAGCGTACATTTTTTATTTGATCGAGGTGGTCAACAACAACTCAATAGACAAATTTTGAGTTTCTAGCTCTGAGACCCAAATTTTAAATTTTTTAGAAGCGTATTGTTCTCACAATTAATATTCCAAATTGCAAGTCTGAAGCACCAATCTACTCAAAATAGAACAGATTCTTAAAATACAGTATCTTACGTGCCAAAATTTCAGCTTCTGTTCCTCCAGTTGGTGTAGATATAGATATTATATTATCTGTCCCTTGAAGTCTAGAGGTAGCATTTCTCGATAAGTAACGCTCGTAATGGATGTACCGGAAAACCCTGGAGTATAAATCTAAATTTCAATTTCTTAACTTCTATATCGGCTAAATGGTTTGCTTTCATACAGGCAGGCAGAGAGACAACAAGACGGACCATCAACCTCTTACACATTCGAGACTAGAATCTTGTAGTCTCTAATTAATGCGTCACTAAATCACTTAGAGTTGAAAAATAGTTTGTGAAAACCCATCAAAAATATAGTCCGTTTAAAGTTGGGACTAACATTCGTGCCTGAACTCCCAAGTGTCTTCTAGGGCTATTTGTATCCCTCAAGCTGAATAAAAATAAAACTACTTAAATTACAATTACAGCACCTGTGACTTTAGGCAGAAAATGAATAGAAATGCTTCATAAAACTTAAAAAAAGTGTCGCTTATCCAAAATACAACAATAACTAGAGCATAATGCAATTAGCCTCAAGCACTGACTAATATTTTCGAGGCCACTGTACTGTAAAACGTGTCTGTTATGTTAGCCGAGTGTCTAGGTCGCGTGCACTTCACTTCCGCTTGGCTTGGCTTCAAACACACAACGCAAGCCGTAAAACGCAACCCAAAAGTGGTTTGGCCTTCAGCCGATGCTTACCTTGGACTCAGGCGCATATTGATAGCGAGCACAGCTGATTGCATAACCGTTGGCTATCGAACCACCTGGGCAGAAGATACCATCGCCATGTCCGTTGTTGGGGAAGCCAACAATGCGGCGCATCTCTCCGAGTACCTGTTCCTCCATTAGCGTAAAAACGGGTGCCACTTCATACGTATAAACACTTGGATTGAGTGCATCGGTGAGCCACTGACCCACCAGCGCGTAGGGATCCACGCCCGAATACAGCTGATTGACGAAATACGGGTGACCTGTCTTTACCGAGAATCGTATTGTCTCGCGGAGCAGGTGGCGCAGTTTATCCGGCGATTCGCCCTGATCCCGCAGCTCAAAATCAAAAAGCTTACGCAGCTCGACAGGCTCATGCCATTCCACAACCTTCGAGGAGCGATTGGTACCTTGAAAGACGGCCAGCTGTATAATCTCATCGACGCAGGCGCGTATAAAGCCCTCGAATTCGGCCGAGGGATGGCTGACCACAAAGCTGGGCAGGCCATTGGCAACAATACTGTTATTATTGTTACTATTCGAGGAGCTGCTGCCTAACATTTGCTTGCTTGGATTGCCGTACTCAACTGTCGCCTGCGCTGCATCGAGACCAGCTGCATCAGCCGTGGTCGTCAATTGCTTCGCCATGCTTGCCAATTCCTCATCGTAGGGCTTATATATAGAATTGCGGTTGTAGTGGTGTATTTGAAAATTTTCACTGGCCAGCATTTTTGTTTGTTTTGCTGTTGTTGTTGTTGTTGTTGTATTTTGTTTTGTTGGCAACACGTTCTATGTGGCTGATGTTAATTGTTTTTCAGTTCGGCTAAAGCAATTGCTGCGTGTTTGTGTTCAGTCTGCTGGCTTATAGCTGATCCTTGATATAGCTGAACACTCTTGACAATGATTCTGAAGTTCACAACCGAACTGAACAAATTGTTGCACCTCTTGCTGCTTTTATAAAACCTGTGAGACAGACATACACACACACATTACTAACATAAAGACAATGCCGACGCTCACAATGCTCACAAATAAGATCGCTCAACCCGCTCGGTTCTCGGTTCTCGATTCTTGATTGTCGATTCTCGATTCTCAGCTGGTTTTTTCTCGTAACGCTCGTCATTAACTTTATTATTCGGGAAAGTACAACACACACCTGCAAGCCCAATTCCCATTCCATCATCGATTTCATAATTAGCCTCGGAGAGAGGCACGATTCTAACTTATTTAAGATAATTACCTGAATTGCGGCTAACTTTAACTTTAAATACAATCCAATACCAATTTAAATCCTTCGATTTTCGTTGCATCTATCAATTCTCTAAAAGCTTTTACTGCTTCTCCTTACATAAATCAGAGATATGGACTTTCTCCATGTACAGTTTATCCGAAAAAACTATGAATTCAGGAATAGGATTTAAGAATGTTTAATTTCAATATAACTGTATATTTCGGATTACATCAAGTAAGATTGTTGTAATGGTAGCGACTGCATAATACTCAACCATGTTCCAAAATTAATTGAATCTGGAGAACTAGTTCCAAAGCAAGATATAGTTTTTCGGATTCGCCGTTAAGAAGTCTATATATATGCCTAATCAATAGGAGAAGTGGTCGTTTGAGTTTTGAGTTCCTAATTGCAAAACTCTAGATAATACCGTTTTCCTCGATCTGTCACGCCCCAAGCAGGCGGTGACATATGATTGTTGACCAATCCTTAGAAGGAATCTTCAGTAAGGTAATTTATGGAAAACGGCAAAATACAGAACATTTTCAAGTCAACAATAATTCAACAATCAAACTCTTAAGTTTCTAGCTCTGAAAAATAAATAGTTTTGTAGCTTGTATTCCAAATGGCAATTCTATAGCTTCAATATTGGCCAAATAGCAAGGCCAAAACAAATAAATTAAATTAAATTAAATTAAATTAAATTAAATTAGTAGAAAAATAAAAGTTTATTTGTAATATTCTGGGTTCAATAAGATCTATGTTATCTGTTATCTTACCTTGCCTTTTTCTACACAATCGTGGAGTAAATTTAAGCATTACTAAACTAAACTTTTAAGAGGATTGCATAATAATTATACTCAATCATGAAATGAATGAGTGCATTGGCTTTGAGCAATGTCCGTCTTGCTGTCCGTCCGCCTGTCTGTCTATCTGTCTGTCTGTCCGTATGAACGCAAGCCATTTCGCTAGACATTGTTATGTGGGGTTTTCATTCAGCAATAATAGTGTACCAAGAAGAACGTAAAAGCAAATGATAGCCACGAATTGAATCGGAGGAATTATAGATGTACTATGTGATGAACTATTCGAGGTATTCCCGTGGTATGGCGAATTGAGTGGCACATGTAATACAATTATGTAGTTGACCAATTTAGACGCTAATTATGTGAGAACTGCTGTCGACACAGACTTGTCTCTCATTAGCTACAATCAAAGACAAATTAAATGTAAATTTCATTGAGTAATTTTAGCGATTGCCGTGGCTGTTCTCTTCTTCATCTTAAATGCAATGTATGCTTATTTATGTACATATACATATGTATATATATTCATAGAATAATTTAACGCGTTAATTGCGCAACTGAAATGTGATATGCAAATGATATTATTATGAAGAGTGATGAAGACGGCGAGAGAATTGTTGTCGTAGGTCGCGTAAATGAGAATGATAAACAATATCTACCAAAATGTTGGTCAAGACTGCGATAAAAGTCGAATAAGTACCATTTATAATTGACCTTTAATTATATATTAAATGTTTAATAAATACAACTATCTCCAATGGCTGTCTTTATATAATAATATGTATAATACTTCTAACATATACACATCTATCAATCTAATACAAATTTTTATTCTGCAGGCAAAAGTTAAGAACTGATCTTGGCCAACGGCCTTGACTGTCGCCCTGTCAATGTCTCTATAAATAAAAGCGAAATTACAAACAATAAATCAAAGAACTATATATATATATATATATATATATATATATATATATATATATATATATATATATATATATATATATATATTTGTATATATTATACATCTATAACTGTATTCAGATATAGATCTGTAGGTATTATGCACGTGTGTCTAACATATAGATATGTATTTGTTTACCATTTGCTTATATGTGTTTTATTTCTTAATTTTGTATCAACGATTTGATATGAAACAGTCCCGTGCTACGGTTATTCAACCTGCAATGCAATCGAATTTCTTAATAAAAAATGTTAATAAAAATTGAGTTGATTTCTTTTAAATATGTAAAGTCAAAACATGAATACTCTTTCGAGCCTAGTTAGATTACAACTCAAAAATATGAAGCACATTTGTGCTTCGCAGTATATTTTGGGAGTTTATATCTAAAAAAGAGACAAATATATTACATTAAAAGAATGTTTAAATTTATGTTAAAACATGTTCGGCATATGAAATAATTTCATATAAGAGTCTTCGGTGCCTTTTAGCTTGCTACATCTCAATCGATAGATAAATTGTTTTTTTTTTTTTTTTGATTTCAAGTTTTCCAATGAGCGAAACTTTAATATTTACACATGTGTTTCATATAGATTGTTTGTAAAAAAAGTATAATATAGTTTTGCTCAAGTATTTTAATTTAGTTACGACAATGGTTTACTGGTTAAATTACCTTTTTGGGGTTGGTTAGGGTATAAGCCGTGAACAAACCAAATACAAAAACCTGCCTTCCCGTTTCGTTACAAATATAAAAAAAACAAAACGTCTCAGAAACGCTCGAATAACCAGTTATGGGGCAATCATCCAAAATTCAGGAAGCATTTGAGCGACGTCACCAACGTCATCGACGTTCGCTGAAAAGCGAAAGGAAATAAAAAGTTTTTGTCGTTCTTGTTATATGATTAAAGTGCAATACACAACATTGACAACAATTAGCACAATCGGCCTTAATTAGGCCTCTTTCGCTATGCCCCTTAGCATGAGCCAAACCCAATGTAGATGTAGACGTGGGGCTTTCCGAGTTACCTACCTACCTATTTACAATTCAAACCAATAAACGACCTCTCAACGTACCTTTCAACTATTTTGTGATCCATTTAATAACAGGTGTTCCGGTCACCTGTTTTGGTTTTTTCTTGTTTATACCCTAAGCCCATTAAAAGTGGGAATTTGGGGTATAATGGTTCTGTTAAAATGTGTGTAACATGTAGAATGAGGTGTGTCAAACCCCATGAGCATGTACATATAAGACTGTTCGGGACGACGAGCTAAGTCATATAAAGCCAATTTTGACTTCTTGGCTACGTATTTAAATTCTTAGATACTTGTGCTTTGTCAAATACACACATATGGGTGTCATTATCACACTCTAAAAATTTGATAGTATACCCCATATCGCCGGGCGTGTGTTGATTGAAAACCCCTCTTCGGGCTAAGGGTATCTCCTAGTCGAACAGTCTGAACGAGAGCACTCTTAAATGCTTTTGTATGTATGTATACAAGTTGTGGACACCACGGCTAGAACTTCCTTACCTGTTTTTTCTCTGTCAGCTGTTTAATGGCCCAGTTTTTGTCTTTTTCGTGTTTTGGACAAGGCCGTTTAACAGCAGCCTCAAGAAAACCATCATGCAACATACACATTGTTTAAAATAAGAAAAAATAAATAAAACCAAGTTTGAGCTTTGGATTGGCAAAGCTTTCAAGCCTTGTGGATTATAATTTATTTAAAGTCAAGCTTGGGAATGAAAGTTAGCAATTTGTTAACTTTTATTTTAGCCTTTTGTGATTATCAAAATTAAATTTGACCTCGTAAAATTTACTTGTTATGTAACGTTGAGCCCGTTAAAAATATCAATTCAGATTATAATTCTGAAAATGCATGTTACAGAGGGAGGCATGACACACGTATATATATTAATTTGATCAGAGTTGAGTGGACCTGTCCATCCGTATGGACGCAGAGATCTCGTAAACCATAAAAGCAATTCTCATGTTCTTTTGATAACTTATCCCATTTCCTCATTATCGTTTAAAATCAATGATTTTATTTCATTTTATAAGCGTAGCTTCAATACCACAAGCGTCGGAAACATACAATTTATTGTACTGAGTATACAGGTGTGTGTATATTTTCGATTCTGGATACCTTATACTAAAATGCGAAATGCAACAAAAAATTCCACCAATGTGAATGTCTAACAATAGTGTTATACTTTATTGTTTTTACGGGCTACGATCAATACAATGTTCTCGATATTTACAATTTCTTATAATTTAATTTATTATAACATACATTTTCCTTTCAATTTTGGATGTTTAATTTTTGTTGTTTTTTTAAGTTTCGAATAATAAAAATCGTCGCATTTAATTCGGTCCATACTATATATATCTCATTTAATACACATACATATATATTTACTGTATCTATATCTTTTATATTATCTATTTTCTATGCACTTGATGCCACGTTTTCCCTTTTTTCTATCTCTGTGGTATTCTCTCCTACTTTGTTTTTTGTTATCCTATCACACATCGCTAGGCAATAAATATTATTCTTGGTTTGTACTTGGGTAAAGAAACATCGTACCTTTATCTGCAAAAGAATGTCAAGGTTTACATAGGGTTAATTATAGTAGTAATATTACTGCTTACCTGGATTGTTGTAGAAGTTTGCGCTTAGACTAGGTTTTGGTGGAAGTTTGGGTGTGCCATCGTGGCTCGTGGCATTCGGAAAGAATTCCTTTGGGGACGAGCGTCTGTTCGGGTGATGTGATGGATGCTGATGCGTATGCGTATGCGTATGTGGATGTGGATGTGGATGTGAATGCGAATGATGCTGCAGTTGCTGTTGTTGAAAATGATGCCCACAAGCCAGAGGCTGCTGAGCTTGCGCTGGCTGCGGTCGATGGCGAGTTTGGTGCTGCTGCAGTTGGTATTGTTGTGGAGGGTAGCTGCTGGAGCCGTCTACAGTGCTGGGAATGTAAGGTGACATGGGCGTCATAGGGGTCATTGGTGATGTGGTTGTCGAGGAGCTTAATGCTGGCGAGATCGACTGTGGTGGTTGCTGCAGTTGTTGTTGTTGCTGCTGATGTAGCTGTTGCTGTTGCTGTGGCTCTTCGTTTCCCGCTGCTATTGTTGCATTGTTGTTGTTGTTATTGTTCGGGATAGCTGACGCATTGACCACCAGCGATGGTTGCTTTGCCGAATTACGGCGTATCATAATACTGCTCGTGTTTGGCAACAACAAGCTACTACTTTTGCCTACAAACTCCTTGGACTGACGACCATAGCCCTCTGCCATGGAATAGTTTAATCGAGGTGGTATAGGCGGCGGACTTAGCTCACCATCACGTGGAGGTAGCTGGCAAGGGGGAAAAATAATTAATATTTATGAAGTCAAATTTAACTGAACAGTTTTCCAACTCACTGTGGGTGCATCAGGCGCTTGACGTTTCTGTGCCATATCCGCACAGCTTTCGGTGCGTTCTTTACGTCGCGGCGGCAGCGGCGGTGGCACAGCTCGATACTCTATGCTGTTTGCCGATGGCACATTGACATGTGGCGATATGGGTACCGCACCCGTTTGCTGCTGTCCCAGCGTCTGGCTCTGTTCACTATTGTAGTAAAAGTCACTCAGTTGTGGACTAACATCCCCTATACCACCACCTCCAATAAGCGTCACCGTGCTAGCTATGCTGTGCGTAGGACTGTATTGCGCTTGAGCAGCGCGTCCATGGAATGGTGAACGATTGCTGGCTGGTGGTATCGGCGGCGGCGGTGGCACTGTAGCCTCATGCCGAGGACTAATCATCAACTTTGGCAGAGGTGATGGCGGCATCACATCCACATCCGAAATCACATAACCATCGGACATAGTCCAATTGCTGACTGTTGCTGACGTTGACTGTTGATCTAATGGAATAAACCCTTCCGTTTGCGCATAGCTATTGTTGTGGGTCCAAACGTGCGCCGCCGGTTTGCGAGGTAGATGCGGAGCCGGCGCTTCCTCTCCGTTGTCTGTGGTACGTTGTTGAGCAAAAACTGAATAGGCGTGCGGATTATGCTGGGGACTCTGATCACCAATGCTGCTGTTGCTGATTGCTGTCGTTGTAGTTGTTGAGGGTGCCGCCGTTGGTGATGGATCCACATTAGCCGTCGCATTGCTGGACAACTTGTTACTGTTGTTGTTTTGGTTCTGCCGCCGTGGTTTGATGCCCGGTGATTTGAGCGGAATGTTTGGCCATTTGCGAGGCTACAAAGAAAATCATTTTAATATTGGTCAAGTTTTGTTAGCTCTTTAGACTTACGAATTTAGGTACTGTCTTGCAGGCGCGCGGCTCAATGCGTAGGCTCTCATTGTATAGATAATCGGACATCTCCTTGTCGGACATTCCATTAAAAGGATCGAGCTGCTCGAAAAAGTGGCGTATGATTGGCTCCTCGTTGAGGCAATAAGGCTGATTCTGATACTGTTGTATCTCGCCAATTATTTCCGACACTTTTCGCCGCTTCGAGAAATTTATGAGCTCTGTGTTGGTCAACAGATCCGGATTACCCTCCTCCAAATGCAATATATTAGTGAGATAACGACCAAAGAATGGCACACAGGGTGGATTAATGGAACGTAAACGCTCCTGATATTTCTTTAAATGGTCCTCGCTCAGCTCCCGGCATTCATCCAGGAACTTACGATGACGCTCCGGTAGCCCATTGAATGTGGCACGCAAACGAAACACAGCCGCTGTGCCCATAGCAGCGACAATCGAGAGTATGCCATTGAAATTGTTTAACTCCAGCATGACCATCATCACCTCAATGGCTCGTTGCATGATGGCCAGACGTTCGTCAAAATTCTCTGCCTCCATTATTGACTTCTCAATCCAGCGTGTCACATTTGTCGTATGCTTCATGATCTTCAGCAAATTGGGACTCTTTAGTTCTTTATCTTTTTTGGTCCACGGCGAGCCAACCAGTTCCGATGGCTTTACATTCTTGTACATCTCAAACTCCAGTAAAGTGAGTTGACGCGCTACCTCCAGTGGATGTAGGGTAAGCAACGTTATCTCGTCATCAGGCACACTCAGATGATATTCAATGGGCGGTGGATCATGACCATAGGCATAGACGATCTTCTTATTGCTTTGTTTATTCTATACAAAAGAGTGCATTGTGCATTGAAAAAAAATATTTGTTAATCAATATTGTTAAATCGAGGAATACCTTGTCTACCTGCGTATTTAGCTAATACTTAAAAATCTTAAAGTCTGGTTAGTTAAAACATACATTACATATGTAAGCATAACTAAAATTGATCATATGATAAAAAGATGGAGATATTGTTACATGAACATACATAATATATACTGCCTAAAAATTAAGTAATTAACAGCAGCTAATTAAAATCTGCCCTTTTCTCTATTTAAGATTTTGCAATGGCTTGAGTTAATGTACCGATGCAAACTTATTTGTTGATATATTTACCTTGCGATCGACTATCTTACGGACTGAGTCAACCCATTTGCGCATGGACTTGCTATTGACTTCATTGAGAAAGTGCAACAATCTGTCGAGCAATGTTAAGTCCTTTTCGAAATCGTAGAAATGGTGATCCACCCAGTGCCTTAGTACATTCAACACACGGAATTGCACGGGCTGTACGAACTCCTTACGATACCTTTTCCAATCCTCGCGCTGCGAATTCTTTAACATCTTATCGCTATCCACCGCTGTCGCAGCTGCCATAACAGCATCCTTGTCGATATCCGCATTTGGATTACAGCCTATATTATTTGACTGCTGCTGTTGTTCTTGATACACCAAACTGGGTTCAGGTATTTCGAAACGTTCCATTAGCAACGTAAGCAGCTGTTGAGGCGAACAAAAATACCGATATGTGGTTAGGAAGGTGCGCACAAAAGTGGGATCCGCATAGATGTGATAGGTAAGCCGTTCGATCAGTTTGCACAGAGTAGCGCCCTTAATCATTGGTACCACGCCACTATCCCGTTCTTCCAGCACAATATTCTCAGCGCTGTCGGGCACAGCAAATTTGTAGATCTCCGGACTGGGCATTCGCAACGGATGCTTCCGCTCAATATCCTGAAGTATGCTATCCAATATACGATCCAACATTGACTTTGTGTTCACCATTATCAAATCGGCCATCCAATCGCTTTTATGCTGTGCACTCTTCGCTGACAAAACAATAGCGGGATGCATCCGTGTGATTAGCTCAAAGCTATGCTTTAGCTCTTCCGTATCGGCCCGATCATTGATCTCAACACGACGCATAAAGAACTTCTCCTTTAATCGAAAATCATATGCAGTGGCGCCTGCCGAAGGGGTTTGCTTCTTAGTATTCGCTTTGCAGAGCACCATCAAACCATCAAAAAGGAACACCTTACGTTCGCTCCAGATACGTTTGCCCGAGCCGAGTTTGCTGAGTGCGTCCTCTGCGTGATATGATTGATATTAGTAAAGTTTATATGGAATCATTGCCACCACTTACCTCTTATGAACTCGTTACAATTTAAGCCCACGTCCTTGTCATCCCAGTGCTCCACTTTGAGCTGCAGCTCACGTGTGCGTTCGATGGCCATCTGTCGACGCACGCGACCGCTGACCGGCAAAAGTCGCTCCTTCGACAAATTGGACATCACCTTCTCGAGATCGCAGTGTAGTGGATGAAGCAGTCCCTGCACTTGAGCAAAACTCTCGATATCATCCTGTGATGTGCTGAGATCCATCAGATGTTTGATATAATCAAAATAGACAAAAGCATGGCAAATGGGCACCAGTAGCAACTTGGGTAAATAATACTTGACTGCCTCTCGAAAGCCATGACCCGCTGACATTAAGGACAAAGCATCCGGTTTAGCCAGCAGATTGCTGAGAGCATCTCGTGATGCGCACGAGGTAACATCGTGCGCATACTTCTTGTACACATCGAACTCCTCTGCCTCCGCCAGCTCTTCGAAACAGCTAGCCACGCAGGGCGCATTCTGCTCCTGTGACATTTCAATCACATCCTCCAGAGAGCCTAACAGCGTCACAGTCACTTCGTATATATCCATAATGTTGGAAAATATCGGTTCAAGTTCCTTTGGATCACGCGCTATCTTCACCAGTTCTTCCCGAAAGACACGTATAATCATATGCAAATCCCTTTGATATTGTTTCTCATCATTGATAAGCTCCTTTACCGTCTCCTCATATGTAGCACTTGCCCGTTGCGCCGGTAGGGACAACGGACTTGGCAGGACATTGCATTTGAGCTCCTCGCCGCTACTGTTGAGCATATCAAGAATCATGCCATCCGCGTTTAGGACCACTTCAATGTCCTCCTTAACAATCTCACTGTGAGCTATGCGACACACATAATCGGCGGCCGTTCTCAAAATATCCGAGGAAATACACTCGAGCACAGCGACAAGATATGCCGAGACTGAGCTATCGATCTTATACTGAAGGACATCCTTCTGGAGCAACGTATGGACACGTTCTGTGGGTAGCAAACATTTACGTTTCTTCGAATTGATTAGCTCGCTGATCTCCTTGAGGGCGCGCTGATCGAGTGGAGGTGGAAATGATTTGATCACTTTAACCTCCACATCCTGCACTGAATGCGGCAAGGGTTTGGCGCACAGTTTGGCCAAGAGACGTACGCACAGGTTCTCCACATACAGCAAAGCATCTTCTTTGGCTGTTACACGCGGATTCACCTGTTCCAGTACCTTGCGCAGCGATTGTATAAATAGGCCACGCCAACGGGCCGCATTCTCGTCCTTTGTGAAGTCATAGCCATCGGTGTCCTGCACGGTAGAGGCAATACCAACGCTGATTCCATGGCTGCCAACGCTGGAAAACATTTCTGCACTCCACACACACACATGCGCATATACACACACACATGCACAGGCACACGCATACACACACGCGTGCTCTTGTTATTAGTCAACAGCAACGTCTTTTTCGAGCAGCAACATTTTCTAGCGTTTGTTTCTCTTTTTGTTTGGTTTTTATTTTTTGTGATTTACTAGTTCATTTACGCGTTGAGTTATCTATTTGCAATCGTAATGAATGGAACAAAAACAAAACTTTGTTTTCACATGCTATACACACGAATTTTTTCAATATATTTTCTCTGCAAATTCTGCTTACTACGGTGTTAAGTTAGCTGCAATACTCGTTTATTAGTGCTGAAAAACGCTGCACATATATATTCGATAAGTGAAAGTATTTACATTGTGTTGCAAACTTTAAATGCTATGAAAGTTATAGTGTATTTTGGCTATTTTTAATATAATAATCCAATTTCCATAATAATTCAATTTCTAAAAGTATTGTCAAAATAACCCATTTTATTAAAAACATATTTCAAAATTATGAAAATATAACATCGAACATTTTAAAGTTAATATGAGACTTAATTATTGCTTTTTAGCCATACTACGTTTTCAATCCAATCACGATAATAGGAAACTCTGGTGTGACGTGTGTATGAATTGTTATTGTTACAATTGCCACCGCTAGAAACAACACCATATATTTCAAAAAGGCAATTAGCAAGGTTTAAATAAGGAGTAAATAACGGACCGCCAGAGTCATTTTCACAAACATCTCCAAACTTATGGTGTGGCTTTGCACAAATGTGTCTATTCTCGTTTAATTCTACATCCAGGTTTTCACACTTTGTAATATTCACAGAAACCAACCATCCTGTTTTCAAATTATCCGCTAGCTGATTTTTGTTAACATAGCCCCATCCAGCGACTTTATATTCTCCGTTAGCACTTGAAGAATTCTGCGCTATGCAAGCCGGCTTTACTTTATTTGTTAATATATTTACCGACATATTCAATTTTAAAAGAGAAAGATCTGCTGTAGCATCGCTTGAATAATCGGGATGTACAGTTTCTATGGCCTTATATCGTGTGCCAGATGAAGTTCTTTTATGGGCTCCCAGCCGAACAAATATCTCACTATTAAGATAAAAAAAACCAAATATTTAAACGATTTTTATTAATTATAATATACTTACTACTCTGGATAATTTCTTGTACTATCGAAGCAATGTGCTGCCGTTAGTACATACATTTTATCTATTAATGCCCCTCCGCAGACTAATGTGTAATCCGTACTTTTATTTTTCACTTCTATTAAGGCCATAAAGGGAAATTCATTCTCAACTGCTGTCACAGAATTACTTATTAGCAGTCTTGTTGGGCAAAAGCCGTCTATTGTTGAATATGCCAAACACTCTGAAATATAAAAGAATAATAATAACAGCACTAGAAATGCGAACATACAGTTTATTTTGTACAGAGTAGCTATACTCTCGAACATTCAACTACAACGTAGGCTAAGTAGATGTAGAAGTTTTGGTGGCTTTCTAAAACATTCGTATTCTTAAACCACATTTTAAACATTATAGACTTATCGGTATTAAAAATTGCGATAAGATCGGAAGAAAAATATAAAGGATCTGGGTTTTGTAGTTTACGACATCTGAACGGACAGGGTATAATGGTGAAAATGTATTTAACAGGCAAAAGAAGAAATACATATAATTTTATGAACGGATCTCGTAAACCATAATCGCAGAAGACTTCAAAATGTAAATGTATATTGCTGTGCGCAGTACGAGCTTATTATCTGATCCCATTTCCTTATTATCGATAAAAGTCAATCTGGAAGTATCGAAAAAACCGAGTGGTTCGTTAATTTTTTTTAAATGGTATTTTTATTTGAAATCTGTCTTATACTATACAATAAACAAATTTATTAACAATAACATTACGTAACCGGGCTCCAAGGACATCAATCCATATATTTACCTACTTTACATATTTATCTATTTCTGCAGGGCAGGTCTAGGACATGAAGTCTTTTGAGTCGCCTATGGTTGCTTGAGTCATCCAGAAGTGCCACAGCACTATCGTGGTTATGTAGTTAATTCATGTATCTGTTTGCATATAGTTGTATTTCTACTTTAACAAGGGACAGTTTAACATCATTGTGGATATTATAATTAGTGTTGTTCTGGTATCGCTGTATAATTTCGATATTTGAATTACTAGCAGTACTCCATAACTGCAATGCGTAGGTCCATATTGGCTTCAGTACGGCTTTAAAAAACCTTAATTTGTTCTCAAGACTAAGTTCAGAACGTGGTCCTAACAGCCAATACATTTTCCTGGGTTTCACCTTGAGCTGCTCTTGTTTCGATTTGATGTGCTGCTCCCAAGTTACTTAATGCAATTGTCCGCAAACTTTAAATATTTCATAATACCATGCTTGTGAGGACAAGTACTCGGCATGATGAAGTTATGCCGATTGTTTAATATTCTGTCAGTAGTGTTGATAAAAATAGTAAAAAGCTATTTAATTATTCAATATAGCTATAATTTTCGACAGCCGTTATTTCACTCTGTGTTTGAACTAGAGGTGCAAAACTATCGATGGTGGGCGCCATCGATTGTGGACGATAGTAATTTCCAAACCATCGATGGTGGTCGATAGTCGAAATAAAAAAACAGTGTTTCTTATCATAAAAAAATTAGTAAGGATTGTTATTTTTTATGTTTTTATTGTAGCCAAAGATTTTTGTTCAAAAACAGCAAAACGTTCACATGTTCTTCTTTAAGCCTTGTTCGCCTATCAGAAATATTTTGTCCCGCCTTACTGAAAGCTCTTTCCAACTCCACAGACGTTGCGGGGATGCATAAATATTTAAACATCACTAATTTTAATAAAGGAAACTCTGTCTGGTTGACTTGCAATTAAATGTATTATTAAAACTTAGTTTTTCGTATCGAAGATTGATTTATTAATTTTACCTTGATCCATAATAGAGGGTCCATTTCTTGTGGGGCAATGTCTTTCTCCAGATACTGCCTTTTAATTATGATTGCATCAGATCGGACATTCCTCTTTTTAGTAGCGCATCGTTTGTCCAAAAAATCAAAGAGTGGGTCCTTACTGGTCGTACTTGCTTAGCATTTAGCTTCAGCATTTGCGTTTGATTTACACCCATTTTTTTTGAAGCGTGGATCCAAAATTGTAGCCATCCTCGTTACCGTGCATAGCTCATATATAGATAGTCGTTTTTTATCGACTCCAACATAGCATCTTTCCTATATTGGCCTACCGAAGTTACCAACTCAGTTGAAAGATTTTGAATTTGGCGATGGACTCCATATGCCGATGGTATTATTAACGTATTTATAGTAACGTATTAGCCACCAGAAACTTTTTCGGACACCTTAAATAATACTAATATTTTCTCAATATCTTTTAATACGTTGATTTCCTCTGCAGTGAATTGTAGTGGGATAATAGCAAACTAGCAATAGCTTTATGCGTTAATAAAATTATTTTAATCACATCGTGGAAGCTGTTCCACCTTGTTGGGGCTTCTTGCAACAAAGTATACGCCCCATTTTCTTCGACAAGTTTCAAGTTTTCGTTCGTAATAGAACTTTTCACGAAAAATTTTACAATATGTATCGTGGAAATAAATCCCTCGTTCTTTACTATACTAAAGGGCTGAACATCCTTAACAACCATCTCTGTTAAGATATTGTCAATGTCGTTTTTACGCTTGGAGTTTGCATCATACAATACAGCCCGTTTAAAGTATGACTCCATTGACCGCATACTCGACCTGCAACTGCTGCTTGTGCATTTTTAGCAGCTTGAACATTGAAAGCAGGAGCATTGCTGTCTAAATTCGGGTGAAACCGTTTAAGATGATCATGCAAGTTCGATGTGTTGCCACGGGTTTTGTATTCCTTGCTGCAATTCAGGCACTTGGTAAATCTTTTATCGTCAGACCTTTTAAAATGTTTCTACACATCCGAAACTTTAGTTTTCTTATTTTGTGCAGCCTTTGCCGACACAGAATTTTTGAAGCTGTCACTGCTGGTCTAATCGCAACTTGCTGCAGAACTGCGACGATAAATTAAATTAGACAAAAATGTAAGCATTCTTACTAATTATTTGAAAAATGCATTACCTCTTTTAAGCAAGCGATCCTTTTATATCTTTTTATGATTTATATAATATTTATATATTTTAAACACTTAATCACAAATATTTGTTGACAAGCGGCGCCACAAAAAATCATAAAACGCGAATATTTGCTTTGTGAATCGTACTATCGACGATTCTATGGACCACAATCGAGACATTGAACCATCGATAGTTCAGTAGCTCGATATTGGCCTACCATCGATGGTGAACAAGTAAGGAATAACTAGTCGGGATGCTCGACAAGGAGATACCCTATCTGCATTTTTAAATGTTTTTATTAATATTAATTATTGTCGAGTATAAAAAAAATAAACAAATATTTTAACCAACATTACGACACCAAGATTCGAACCAACATTGCCCACGCAACGCACATCAGCTCCACCAACACCGCCACTTCATAATTTAAAAAAAAACAGAAGTTACAAATCTCAACTTAAGTAGCACGCATTTAAGTGAAGAATGTGTGCACAAGTATAGGAAAAATGCGATAATAATAAAACGAGAGTAGTTATCACTTATTTGAGAAACTTGATATATGCGTGCTATACACGGATCTACAAGTCAATATTTCATGTCTCCAAATCTTATGGATGCTGAGATCAACGCCATACAGTCGGGTACGCCTTAAAAGACTTGGCTTGTCGTCCTGATGAAGAATATATAATTTATGGAGTCTGCCACGTCTCCTTTTGCCTGTTACATACAGTTGCACAAAACAATTATACCTTGAATTCCCATTTTCAATCGGATGTATGTATATGTATATGTATATGTATATGTATATGTATATGTATATGCCTATGTATATGTATATGTATATGTATATGTATATGCCTATGTATATGTATATGTATATGTATATGTATATGTACATGTACATGTACATGAACATGTACATGTATATGTACATGTACATGTATATGTATATGTATATGTATATGTATATGTATGTGTATATGTATATGTATATGTATATGTATATGTATATGTATATGTATATGTATATGTACATGTACATGTACATGTACATGTATATGTATATGTATGTGTATATGTATATGTATATGTATATGTATATGTATATGTATATGTATATGTATATGTATATGTATATGTATATGTATATGTATATGTATATGTATGTGTATATGTATATGTATATGTATATGTATATGTATATGTATATGTATATGTATATGTATATGTATATGTATATGTATATGTATATGTATATGTATATGTATATGTATATGTATATGTATATGTATATATATATATGTATAAGAATATGTATATGTATATGTATATATATATGAATATGTTTATGATGTATATGCATATGTAGCAGCAGTTGACGAAAATTTAAATTTGTTCACCAAGAGGTCTCGTACTAATTTTTTCAACATGCATCGTCGCGAAAAAATAGTTTTTTACGTGCAACTTTCATACCCTATTCACATACCCTATCCACGAGCAGCCCCGACTAGAGTAGTCTTACTCGTTTAAAGTTACATTGGTCGATAACGAGTTATTATAGTAAGTGCTATATACAATATTACTTACGCTTTTCAGAAAAACTTATATTGCGATTGGGTTCCTCATCCTGACAACATACTGTGTTCTCTGCTTCGTTGCAATATTTCACATGTTCGGTTGTTTCGAACCTTTCAGCTAAATATACATCGCCTTCGCAATCTTCGAATTGAACACATTTATATTCACAGTTCACACTGGCAGATGTTGTATCAGTTGGATAGCAATTACACAATGCTACTAATAATAAAATTAATATTATCCTGATATTGCAACACATTGTTTTTAAATTTGTCGATGTCATCTGATACAAGTCTTGAAAAGTACTATATTTCGTTGTCTCAATATCTCTTATATGAACCCCATGGCGAGCTTAATTGAAAACTTTGGACTGCACTTAAAAAAACTACATGAATTATGCAAGCAAACAAAAACAATAAAAAGCTGTTATATACATTTTGCTATAACAAATTCGCTTTTTTTCGTTTTAGTATAAAAGAAAAGAATAACATTTGCAAATGTAAATTATTTCCAGTGCACTCAATGTCTTCTGTTAAAATTAGGACTTTAAATTAATTATTGTATTGGTTATTTGCAATTGTTCCAGCGTTTGTCACAAGCATTACTCTTGACCTAATCTATAGATATATTTACGTCCTTTTCATGCTTGACAAATTTTTCGAATTATTTGCAGTATAAACAGATATATGGTCCCAGTGTTTGATCGAAAAAGCCTCCTCTTCGCAGTCCCCACTGTTTTCAATAAATATGTGCCAGCCAATTATATAGGGTTACAAAGACAGGAGTCCGAAGATGTCGACAGATGAGTATTCCAAGGATAATATTACTTTTATTATCTTTGCATTATAGTTATAAAGTTTAAATCGTATATATTTAATATTAGGATTGTTGTGCAGTAATTATCTTTCCAGCAGCGTCCCGCGTTGTTTTTTCTGCGGAGGAGGCATTTCCTCTGACTTGGGTTTGGTACCAAGGTCAATGAGTTTGCCACCTTTGCGCTGAAGTTGCTTCTCAATGATACGGGCGTTGTTTGCATAGCTGTCGGCTATTTCACGCTACAATGAAAATCAGTTAAATAAGTTATACAATAATATAATATAATTTATAAATTATTTGGCTTACCGCCTCAATTTCATCCTCCTCCTCGTCTATGGTGGATACGGTGACCGAGCTAAATTTGCCCATATTCTTGGTATGGCGCGTGACCATAACTTTTTTGCCACTGGCATCGACAATTCCTGAATCCTCAGCGCTGGCAGGAACCACTGATGTGCTTGGTGGTGGAATAGTCGCTACATGGGCTGTGCTAATGTTGTTGTTTGTAGTGTTATTGGTGCTGGTTTTGGCTTTTGCCTCCATTGCCAGAATCTGGGCCAATGGCTGTTCTCCTTTATTTTTGAGCAAGGCATTGCTCATGACAAATGTGACGTGGGAGTCGGAATTATGGCGATAGAACAAAGGCAGATTACAGTTGCGACACTAGAAATTGAATTATATATCAATTATATTTGTATATAGTGATACATCCTGTATCCAATGTAACCTTTCTTGAGTGAATCAATGGTTGCAAGTGTTATGTCTGCTGAAATTTCGAGGGCTTATGTTTATCTTCCTATAATAACGAAAAGCTTTTATGTACAAACACTTTAAACATACATACATTTACCTCTTTTTATTACTGTAACAGCTTCGAAACTTCTCTTAATAGTATCTAACTTGAATTCTACCTATTTCTGAATTGCAATCTGTATTGTATGCGTTCGACCTCTTTTTTTATACATACATTATAACGGTACTGCTTTTCAATTCCCTTCCCTTTGCGTCGTATGTAGATCATTTTAGGTGCTGGGTTGTATGTCAATTTATTGGCATGGTCATTGGCATCAATAACACGAGCATTGTCCACCTCTCGCAGCGGCAGCTGGTCTAATGTGCAATCTATCATATATATATATATATATATTTTAATATATATATGTAATAAATTTTAATATAACAAATACATATGTAAACACACGTTTCTACGAACCCAAAATCAGCGACATTTTGCTACACAAGCAATAGTATATGTTTAACGGTTTCTCTTCATTATATTCTTCTTGATCTTTTGTATCTGAGCAGACAATGCTACGTGACACAACTTTTGGCATATTGTTTTGAAATGGCAAAGTTTATATTTGTATGTACAGTTTGATAACAAAGCCAGGCTATTTATGTGCAGTGTTGGACAATTCAATATTCCTTAAAACAGCTGTGCTCTCTCGACAATCGACTATCGATATCTTTTACAGCGCAGAATAATATAAGAACTTCTTAGTAATTGCAGTAATTCACATGGGATCTAAAAATGAATGTCAACCTACGTTGCACCAAATTTCGGAATTGTGTTACAACAAATTTCGTGATTTGCCAAAAACTGGAAAGCCCACAAAAAAACAATGGACAGTGCTAGCCGGCATAGTGCAGTACGACAAAGATACACAAACAAGCAAAGTTGTTGCCCTTGCAACAGGGTTGGTACAAACTGAAGTAAACATTAAATTTTGTTTTTTACATTTTAAAAATCCATCAGCACCAGATGTATCGGCGCTAGTAAATTATGTACAAGAGGCTATATACTCAATGATTGTCATGCTGAGGTTCTGGTCCGTCGCGCTTTTTTACGCTATTTGCATAACGAGCTCTTAAAGGCAATGATGCGAACAGGAGATGTGGACCAGTCAATCTTTACTTGGCAGACAGCGACAGCTTGCTTTGCGCTCAACAAGCAGCTAGAGTACCATTTGTTAAGCACTCAAACACCGTGTGGAGATGCATGCATTGTGGCCACCGATGAACTCACAAATGAGGGTCCAGCGAAACGAGCGCGTTTAGACTTGGAACCTTCGTTACCGCTAACAAATACCTCTCCGATATATACGGGTGCTAAACTAATAAGTCAACCGGCCAATTTCCTCTCCGACGACATGTTGCAAACACCAGCAGAACTGAGGACTAAACCAGGAAGAGGCGAACGTACTTTGTCTATGTCATGCAGTGATAAATTGTCGCGTTGGAATGTGCTTGGAGTACAAGGCGCGCTGCTTGACATGCTGATCGACAAACCCATTTACTTTACCAGCTATAACTTTTGCTGTGCCGAGGCAAATCTTGAGAGTCTGGAGCGTGCCATTTATCGACGCTGGCAGGGCAGAGACTGCATGCTGAATCGCTATAAGCCGCAGCAACCATTAATACGCATAGATAACAATTTAACCTTTGAGTTGGCGCAACGCATGGATTGGCAGCCATCGCCAAGCAGCCTGATATGGGCGCTGGTGCCTGATTTGCACAGGTAAGAATGAACTCAACTATTTTTCTTTTCATATATAATATATATATAGACCATTTGAGATTGCAGTTAATGGAAAGCGTCAGGGTATCACCAAACAGAGGCTAAACACACCGCAAGCCGCGCTATCAGTGAGTAAATATAAATTATTCATTAGTTTTTTGGACTTGCTGTCGGGCTGTTCGAAACTACGCGAAAAGCTGGGACTGAACTTGGAAGAGCTTCAAAACTTGAGTTATTTTGAGCTTAAAGCCTTGGCAAAGGATTATCAATCAGCTTGGCAGCAATTGAAAAGTAACTATTTCAAGTTATGGACTACCAAGCCAAAGGACCTGCTCGAATTCAGCAAACAACCTGAGAATGATTTTGAATTTAGCAAAAAGACTGCAGGAAATAAATGAGAATAATTCCCATAGTTTGGCAGTTAACCTATACTTTCAAGTGAAATTGCATTATAAAATATTTAGCACTGACTATATGTCTTTATATAATGCAATATTATTTATATAATCCAATTACGAGGTAATAAAGAAATCATTTGAAGACTTTTGTAAAATATAATTCTATTATACAGTATTTTTATAAATATATTAGTATATATATATATATAAATATTACCAGACCACAATGGAAATTGTTCGCGGTGAGGATAGTTGGCAAATGAATCTAGATTTTTCCATGCACTTCGTCTCCTTCATGACAAAACTATCTTCATAGCCCTTCACCAAGGTCACACAACTTAATTGTTCATTGGTATGATAGTAATCGTTTACTTCATTCATATCCTTAGCTAGGAAATTCAGATAATCGGGCCTTAATCCAGTTGTTATCGAAACATATTCCTCTTGACCCAGTCGGTTGATGTCTACCCAATAGTCGTGGCTGGCATTCAGCTGCATGCCTATAACTAACGTCTCCTGATGTGTTTTCAAATTGATGAGATTTCCCCCCTTTTTGCGACACTCTTGCACCGCCTGAAACCAATTGAGTTCCGCATTGCCAATGTAATAGAACTTACTACCGATGAGCTCGAAGGGTTTCAAATGTGCTTGATATTCTAGGGGTACAAAATCAATATTTTTGTACTCCACACGGGTGCTAAAGTTAATTGCTATTGGTAAACTCTTTTAGTTAGTATTTAGTTTTTTGTTAACTGATGGATGATTCTCTTACATTCAATCAACCAAAATTGCGCCAGCACTTGAAGCAATGCTATGTCCAAAACTATATACCGAAACATCTTGGTTGATACTCCAAATCGACTACTGCTCACTTTAAAGCTGCAAATCAAATTAAATTGAATAACAATATACTTACACAGTTAGGCTATTCGCAATTATTAATAAACATTGAATATGACTAAGAATGATTATAATATATTATCCGATAACTTACATATATGAAATTCCAGTGAATAATAACAGTTTTTAGACTCGCTCACGAAGTGAGAAACATTTATTGGCTTTGAGCAATATCCATATGAACGCAAGCCATCTAGACGTAACTAGAGTAAACTAAACGAAAGAGTTACTAGAAACTAGTAACGATCTTCACATTGTAATATTAGTTATATTGACAGCTCAACAGTTAGAACACAGGCTTGGGACTACACCTCCAGAAATCGAATGTTAATTTACCACAGTCCGCTTCTTGAGATTGATCAAAATAACACATCTACACCTGCAATTCGGAGATATTCTATGCTCCATAGTGTTCTGCGAAGCTTCTAATAATTACGCTTCTAATAAGCTTCCTTCAGTTTATCTTCTCTTTCGAAGTGTCGCGCCCGTTGACTATTAGTGTATAAGCAATCAATACTTCCCTACTTCTTTCCCTTTTCTGTCTGTCCCAGAATTGTATTCAAACGCAAAGCATCTTTGTAATCTCTTCCCTCTTTACAATAATGCCATTATCACTGCCATGATCATCATCAATAAATCTGTAAATAATATTCTAATTATAATAAGTACATTTTTAAGTCCACCATCGTAAATAATTTGAGTCAGAATTGCCGTAAAAGCTTGGCGACCTTAAACATATAGATGACTCCAACGTGATTAATCTAGTAAAGGCTTTGCTTAGTAAAATGAACAAATTCCGCTAGCTCGAGCTATTTTCAGAAGACATGAGTGTCTTAGGAATAGGAACTGAATAGGACATTGAAAAACTACGCGAGATAGAGTCAAACTTTTATGCAGTCCACACAACTTTAGAGGAAGCAGATATTGATTCCTTTTATAGTAATCTACTTGACCGATTTAAATTCAGAGCTTTGAGGAACTCCATTGCGAGCAGAATTTCGTACAAATCGTCGATTATTATGATTTATTATTAAAGCAAAGCCGGGAATCATTGTACGATTCCTACTTATAGACTAAGGGGCGATTGGCGAGCTCGCTAGGAATCAAACTCTTAAAGCATTTACGAAAGAATATATTCACCTCAACATGACACTGGTGCCCAGCGCATCATTGTGGAGAGTCCTAAAACTAAGCTAACGGAACCGTTAGTTTTAAAGAACTGCAGTCACCATATCTTGGCTCTCATTGAATAACTTGCTCATGACATGGCCGGCCATTCGAGCTACTTCTTTCCATACTCAATCACTCTCGCCTAATTTCTATGGCATTTACCTCCTTGCAACTACCCATTTTGCTATAGGAAATTTTAAATAGAGAAAATGGTGCTCCGATTCTCTTGATACTGTTCGTGGAGTTTCGAGCTCGAAGATGGCAGTGATATAACCAAAACACTGAGACACTTCTTATGTCATAAAGACAATTTTATGCCAAAAAAAACTGTATCCACCACTGTAACCATGAAGGTGGAGAGATAATATTGAATAGTATAAGAGTCTACGGCAGTTGGAAATGGTTTGGGCTGAATTTTGTAAGGACTTTAGTCATATGCAACATTCTTGTTTTAGTTTTATTTTAAACATTTTTGAAAAGTCTTGAAAGTAGAACTAAAAGTTTATGTATAATATTTGTTTGTCATTTTAGAAATCTTACAGAATTTTTTTACTATTAAAATTTCTATGACATGAAATACAAAAAGCTATATCAAAATAGGTCTAATTCCATTATAGTATAAAAATCGGCTGCTTGATGATTGATTAATGAACTTCACCCAAAAATATGCTACAATTTTTTTGAATTTTGAAAAATCTATTCTCAAGTACGCATAAATTTCCCAGTACTGATTGATTCCAATTGGCCCCTTCACAAATTAACGTAAAATGATCTAGACGAGGCATGGTAAAACTATATTTTTTTTTACAATTTAATTTTCATTTTTTGTTTACGATCAGGTTTTTTCTATTCGTTCACGAAGTAAAAGATGATATTGGTTTTATGCAATGCCTGCCGCAAATATTTTATATCTAGACCGCTGAAATTTTTTAATATACACAGATTTTCCCGATACGATAAGTAGGAGAGTAGGATAAGTAGGAGCGGAAGACATCGGAAAATACTACATAAGGTATAACAGAAACGGTATTATGTAGAGTGCTAGAGACTTGAGAATTAGAACATATCCACGTGTTGCCAACCCAAGATCAAGAAGATATAGTCGATGTAACTTCCTTCCGATGTAAAGTCCTTTTGCAAAATACTTGCTATTAGTCTTTGTATGCTACTGACTTGAACGCTTGAGCGAGAGCTTTACGAAACCGGGTAATAAAACAAAAGTTATTCGTTTTCATTATGCAACATCTAAAAGTAATATATTTATTATGTAATACCATAAAGTGTAATCTAATTGTCATTTAGCAAATGTTCAACAAACAAACGTACAAAGCACTCGCACAGATGCAAGGTACTAGCTATAAAATACAAGATGCAAATACACAGACAAGCAAATACGCATAGAGGTAAGAGTGTTTGCTACATCAAGTAGTAACAACTAAAGCGGGACTTTAACAATGGGCATCTGCTGCTCTGCTCAGCGATTGGGGATATATGTGGTATGGGTAGTGAGGTTGGTGAGATTGGTGGGTCAGAGCAGCTCATCCGATTCGCTACTGCGGTGCATGCTGTGCACATTTATTTATATATGTATAAAACAAAAATACGAATCGATTCACTTCGATTTTGACTTTCACCGTTTTGTGACCCTTTCAACCCAAGACTCAATGTCCGCCAATTTCGCGCAGCTCACGTTTGCCTAGCGGCAATGGAGGTCGGAAATTGTTGATGACCTTGCCATTGAATTCATTGCAAGGACATTCCTCCTTGACATCGTAGGCATTAAGATTACGCATGGCATTTAATTGATCGTCGGACACTTGAATGGGCGTCTTGAACACAATCCAAATGACGCACTCGGAGCAGGGAGGCGTAGTCAATGAGCCCTCATAGGTCCAGTACGTGTGCACATCGGGCAGCAGCTGACCGGGATCACAGCCTTGGGGCAGAGTGACGCGATCGCCCTTGTGCAGAACAAATTGCAATAGGCTGCTCACTTTATCTAGCTCTTCGTGATGATTGCCCGGTTGCAGAAAGACACCCAACACGGCCAGTCCGTCAGGTGCAGCCGCTGCTTCGCCGAACGACTTGTATTTCGTGGTGTTCCAGTGTACGAGATGAAGTTCACCCGAATAGGAGACACCATCAACCGTATGTTCCGATCCCTTCGAGTCGGTGCAGCCCCAGTGACAATGGAACTGTTCCAGTTTAAAGATCTGATCGCCAAGTGGTCCACCAGTTAGCTCAGAATTAGCGCCGTTGACATCCACGCGCCAACAGTAGCCTGCAAATGACATAAGCCAAGTTTGATCTTCACTCTCTACTTGGTCGAATATAGAACCTACCTGGGTTAACCAGACTCTTTGTATCTTCTGGCACATATTTCCATTTGAGCGGAGATGCCTTCAAATCACTGCCCTTCTTGGCACTCGAAGGGGTGATGTCCACGGGCGATTGGCGATGTCCCGATGCCTGCGGATAGTCCTTGGCCCAGTGGGCGGGTCCTGCAAAGCAAACAATGCATGCCATGTTAATGATGAACTCGTTTAACTAAAAGTCATTTAGATTAATTGTTTCCACATGCCGTGGTCATTTAATCATGCTTCATTTGCCATCTATTTATAAGGGCTACTATAAGCGATTTGTCATTATATTAAGAAGTAATCAAGAGGAGTAAAGAATGTGGTAGAGGAGCTCAGACCGAGAGAAAACTTTTAATAGCCCTGCACAAATTGTCATCAATTAAGTTTGAGGTCGACACCACACCTTGTCCTTAGGAATCATAAGAAAAAGCTGTGCAATTACAAAAATAAAAATGTTTAATGGTTTTACAGTGCGGTTTATTTTATGATCGCTTTGTTTTAGCGTAAAATACGTGTGGGGATCTATTCTAAGGTCCGTGCGAGGTTTTAGATCCCTTGATGCATGGAATTTGAAGTCAAAGTCCATTTACTTAGGGAACTTATCTAATTATGTCTACATATTTCATTCTTGTAGTTTATATGGTTTCTTTTCATATAAGCAGTTGAGCACTTATAGCTCTAGTCTTTAATGATAAGCGTATCTATAAAAGACAACAACAAGTAAATATTAAAAGACTCAGCCTTTTGAACATCTGGCTGGTGCTTAGAGGATTCTCTTTTACTTTAACAAAAGCTGGAGTATGCTTTGATTAGCGGCTGAGTCATATAGCTTGGCAAATATTTGTACAATAATAGTAAAAACGTGTAGCCTAGATTAAAGTAATATAAACAAAAGGATTTTCATAAATAAAATACCCTGCCCGTATGTTTTAAACTGAATGCTATATCGATATAGACGAAATGAACGAAAATGTATAAAAACTATCTTAACTATAGCCCAAAGAATTCAAATAATATTTTCATTTGGTTTTGTTCTTAACTAAGAAACTGAGTATCTATTTAAAATTCAAGTAAATTATATATATATATATATATATATATATATATATATATATATATATATATATATATATATATATATATATATATATAATTTTATATATTATAATAGATAGAAAAAACACTAGTGAATAAAATATAATTAAGAAATTTTGGAAATGTAATTTAGAAGCAAGATCAATTATTAGAATTAATAAATGAATAATAAATCGTTAATAAACTCGACAAAAAATTACAATAAACCCGTTTTCGCAGTTGATTTTTGGTCGTTGCTCATTGCTGACAGATGAGAGCTAGAAGCTTATAAAGCATTAAATGTCAGCTGCTTGTACAAATTGCTTGACTAAAAAATAAAAACTTTTACATCTATTTGGTTGACAGCGAACATTTGCTGTCCGTAGGAATTTTTATCTAGCCGCATAGCAATCGGTTGAGACAACAAAATAAAAGATTATTTACTTTATTTTAGTCTGTTATTTTTTTCTGCTGCATTTGCGTTTTTAATTATTGTCGTGTGCTGCAACAAAAACAACAACAACAACTCAAATATTGACTGGGATGAGGCGTCACGTGCTGCGGCAGAGAGACTGACTAGAGAGCTGCGCCAGTCATGTGATATTTGGAATATGGTTTGCACTGACGTCGCACTGAGCAACGTGAACCGTAAAACCCCAAAAAAGGGGTGGCTTGTGGTGGGGCGTGGTAGCTGAGATATCTTATAAATACAAATGTTAAGGTGCGCTTGATCTGGCATTCACCTTATCTAGTAAGTCCCTTGTCTTTTGGACTATACCACATGATACATCATCGGGGTCTTAAGGTATTTATTATGAGTTGTGATAAATCAGGTGTATTCGAAGCAATGCATTTTTCCTTATCGACGCGCAGACAGCGCTAATTATGTAATTGACGGTAAGGAAAAACCTGAGAATTAGCTACAAAAGTGCAAGCGATACATAATTTGCCCATGTGACAACCAAATTGATAGGTTGTATAAATATATAATATATATATATATGAAGTACAAACAAATAAATCACGTATTCGCCCTGAAAGCCGCTGTGCAACTGTAGCTTACAATCTAAAGCCATTTTGAAGTTTCCATTAGCCCATGTGACAATACATTTTGTTTTGAGGATCAGTTATGCAAGCATCATAGCTAGGTGTGATAGTTGTGATATCACGCATACGCCTGGAATGTTTGGCTAAGAAACTCGCCGTATTGACCATATATGCTTAAATCAATGATGCCTTGTCAACTGAAAGACTCATGAATCCATGCTGTCACTTTACAAATAAATTAGTAGGCTTTATAAATTGGCTCATATTTTAACATCACGTATACGCACTGCATGCCTTCAGCCAAACCCTCAACTATTTGACTGATTTGAGCTCATTTGATCATGGCCATATACAACTCATTTATATATTCCCTTAGACATATAAGGCTAAAGAAGATAAGCTTATTGCTGGAAATTCCATTCCGGCGCTGTCTGATGCCTTACAACGCACACCACCTGTCTTATAGGTGCACGAATGCACACGCCATTTATGGCAGCTGTTACTACGCCTTAGCTGCAATCCATTTCTATGTTTCCATTTTTGCGTAAATATCCGGTTAATGATAAATTAACCAAATATTTTGTACGCTTATAAAGCTGTCATTTTGTCAGCTGCGTTCTGTTGGCCATTTTCCATGCGCTCATATTTGTTAAGTCAATTTTATTTACAGCACCTTGTGCAATTTCAGACAAAAGCTGCTGCTGCTGCTGCTGCTGCAACGGCTGTTAAATAATATTAGCAGTAAATTCTGAAGAACACGCTACTCCAAATAAACATTGATTAAGTAAATGCAAGCGAAAGCCAGGAAAGTTCCAGCCTGAATACCCTGTAGACTATTTTTGTATGATCTTATTCAATTAAAAGACTAACAAGCCGAATATAAAATATCAACCTTTTGTACTTGCGCTAAAATCCGTTAAGGAAGTGCTACAATAATGATTAAATAAATCTGTAGTGGGTTCTCACAAAATCTTGTCAGATTAACAAGATTTGAAATAAATAAATAAATATATTTGCCACGCGATCTTTAAACAGCTGCCAACGTTTACAGAATGATAATTATATTATCATATATTATACATTATGTAATATATATTATATATTATATATTATACATTATATATTATACATTATACATTATTTATTATATATTATATATTATATATTATATATTATACATTATATATTATTTATTATATATTATATATTATGTATTATATATTATATATTATATATTATATATTATATATTATATATTATATATTATATATTATATATTATATATTTTATATTATATATTGTGCTGCAAACCAATTGATTTTTGAATTGTGTTAACAGCAAGTTGAACATTCCCAATTTAGCATAGCATGTCCAATTTATATACATGTATATTACGCACACACACACACACAAGCACACAATATTTATATAACGATCAGTTAAACAGTCGGACAAAAACTTGTTTTGTGCAACTTTTTCCGGACAATAAGGAATTAAGTAACGTTTTCATTAGAATTTATACAGCATTTCTAAGCTATTTACTTTCGTTTCGATTTCTAAACAAGCAACAACTTTTTTGTCTGGCAGATACTTGAATAAACGACTGAGAGATGCCCTGCTTATAGATGTTAGCTTAGATCAGATTAATTCAAAATAATTGTGTCTAAATTTATCTGAAAATTTATGGTAATGGACATTGGCAGCAGCTATTAATAATATTAATAAAATGTTTTAATGGAACACGCTTTAAATAGGTCTGAAATTGGCCAAAGGAAAATATAATGCCAGTCTCATTTGCATTACAGGGTATAAATATGATTTGAGTACATGTGTTGTACGCGTTAAACGCAGGAAAAGTAAAACTGTTTCTGTTCATTAAAAAACGGGTAGAAAAGTCGTAACTATTAATTTAAATTGCATGATCGTATCTTCTAAGTGCACGGTAGGCAGCTCGACTTATAGATACAGTCGTATATAGACAGTTCATCATGAGTTTATTGCGTGTTTTTTGTTTATGAGCTAAGGAACTACTTGCTAATTAGACCCTGAGATATACAATGAACTGACCCCACAAATTGCCGTTTCGCAATTCGGTTTATTCCTGCGTGAGTCAGACATATAGCAAATGGATGTTGTACATATATAAGTTTGTGATATTGATGTATGTATATATACATCAATATCACAAATTTATAAATATATATATAGATGTAAATTTATTAGACAACGCCAGACTGAAATAAGCCAACGTTGCGACTTATATAATCTCGCGTCCCGCCTTTTTGCGAAGCCCCAGCAGTGCTCAAAGCTCTGGTACTTGGTTTCAACCCTCCAGTGGGCAAAGTCCATTTCAGAGAATTTTTAGTGCTAATTATTTGGTTGCATGTGACCGAAGAGCAACAGAAATAGATTTATTGAATGACCATAAAACGAAAAACCAAAAACGAAAAACAACTTAACAAAACACAAGTTTATAGAACAATAACATGCAAAATTTGAAAGTCGAAAATTTATAGAATTGTCACGTACAGCCCCAAATCTTTGCACTCGGAATGCTCATCTGTAGACCAAAAGTTTTCCAACCCATAAATTTTTTATTTTTTATGAGGGTATTTTTTATTGTATATATGTAGATATATATATATATATATATATATGATATTTATATTATATATGCACCAGAAGGCTTACATATAATTTTTATAGAAATTATCGCATGATATATATATATATATATATATATATATATATGAATGTATATGTGATTTATTTTTTATCACAGCAAGAGCTAATTTTATCGCCTTAGCCAAAAATAATAATCTGTACGGCAAATATTCTGCCAAGCATAATTTTCTGACACCTTCGGAATTGAGCTGTAGAAAGCGTTGATCAGCTCTCCAGAGCTGAGGATGTTAGCTTTCATAATATCTCTATATCTGTTTCTCAAAAATTTGTCATTGCAATATTTCTTTATCCTCTCCATTGCCCTAAGTAGGCGTGGTCATACTATATAGTCATATGCTATTGCTATTGTCCATTGTTTTGTAATACATGATTGCGCATCAATTCACTTATGGCTTAGAGACGTCAATGGAATATATTACAAAATTGTAATGGAATAAATCGCTTTCATATGTGTGTGTATATATAGTAGGGTTATTCGAGCTTTGAAAAACCTGCTACTCACTGTACAGTAGAATAGAATACGATATAGATGGGACAACTTTGCCTGAACATGTTTCCAACTGGTAAATTTTGTTAAATATTTCTATACTTTCATATTGCTTTCAGTAATACATCATCTTGGATCGAACAGTTATATTTAATTTTATGCTAAAAAAGAATATGGCTTCCTGTTAATTTTCTTATATTCAGATTCGTAGTGCAAATCACAATAATAAATTGATAAGAAAAAAACCTTATTAAAATCAAAAGAAGTATTTGATAATATTGGGATATTTTTAGTGGATATTACTAATTTGAGTATTTCATTCAATTGACTCATTATGATAAGAAATAAGTATATATATATATAGACTAGATTAAATACCATGGAAAACGTAATGAACAGTGTCAGCAAAGATAAGAGGAATACAAAAGAAAAACCTCAAATGTAACCGATAGCTACCAAATAATAATGATTGAAGAATTTATGAATTACTTTCAAGAACTAACATGAGTATATCAGACTTGTCGTCACTATTGTAGCTAGACACTACGCAATTTTATATACTCCCTCGTTTATGAACCGTTATAAAGCTATTACGAATTATATATATTCAGCTTTTCGGGAAAATGATATCTCCTAATGGCAGCTCTATAGCGGAATACCTAGTTCAGCAGTCTTATCCTCCTGTCGATGTGAACGAGTGAACGAGCATTTTACAGTCGCTTACGCCCGACAGCAACACGCTAACGGTTTTGTGGTTGTTGCGATTCACGTCTTAAATGAAATTTGATTGATTTACAAAATATAAACACGCGACTTTTAATCTGGCACTCAAGTATAATCGAGTATAGACAACAATTCTGCAGTTTTGAGAGGGCCAGAGGTAGATCTGATTAGAACATCGCGTAATCTATATATATATATATATATATATATATTTATATATATATATATTTATTTATTGCTGCATGTATTAATATGATTAATATATGTAAATAAGACTCGAGAGCTCTCACTCGCCCGCTTCATGTAAGAACCACTCCAGACTGGAGTGGAACTTAAACATGTTCGTACAGAATATACGTATATATGTATAGGTATATAGATCGGCTGGCAGCGATAACGCAGCATAGTCATAAAGAAGACATTGGAAAGTTACCCAAGTCGAATCAATCAACGCAATCAGCGACATTTAACGCAAATCAAAACAAATTGCCGAAAATAAAAATATTGTATTCCAACTTTTTGGTAGATGCAAACATTTTTCTTTATTTTTATTGAACGATAAGTGACTATCATGTGACGGGCAGGGCTTTGTTATGCCAGACAGAACGTTTGACAGGGTTTTGATGAAACCGGTTTTTAATACGTCCTTAAGAACCGCACATGCACTTGACCAGCCAGGCAAAAAGCAAACGAACTGCCTTCAAAAGCCAAGGCACAACACAAAGAGAAGGCGAAACTGACGCCTAACAAATAATGAACTGAATATTAAATACCCTCACTACAAAAAAAAAAAACACAAGTCTCTGCAGACAATTTATAGATGTTTTTTGGATCTCCAAAGAGAAGAATCAACTTTGAGGTTGAATAATTTCGAAACTACAAAAGTATATAATATTAAAATTTGCATACAATAATAGCTAAAAATCGATAAAACAAAGTCGTATCCGACATTTCCATACAGTTATATATTTTTAATAGTTTGTATAGTAGAAATTAAAATAAGAGACTAAAATTGTTCCTGCCAATCAGTGCTATTTGTTGAAATTCAATACTTGTCTAAAATCGATAATTATCGATTTGGGCCATAGTAAAAAGCAATATGCTATTCCGATGTGAACAGTCTCGAAAATATCAATGATTCATCGTAAATGTATACTGTGTATCGATTGCTTCAACTGCTGTTACAAATTTGCTTAAACAAGTATCGCAAAATCTAGCATTAACGAGAACTGGGGAAGCGCCTGAGTTCAACGAGACGACTGAGTTTGCGACTGGTTCAGTGGGAATCACTCTCATTTGCACACTAGCGCACAGTTGTGATCACGAGACGCAGCCCGTGCAAAGCGCCGATTGTCGGATATTGTCTACCCGCTCTACAGACCCGTTTGGGCTGATTTGTTTGAGCTACGCTGCGTATACGATTTAATTATGGCTGTCGCATATTTCTGAGCAGCCGACGAACCTATGGCTATGAACGTGCCCAAGTCTCTCGAGATGTGTGTATTTTTGTGTGTGTGTTCGTGTATGGAGTGGTAAAGCGATGATGCATGTAATTGAGGCGCAAAGCGTTATTTCTCGAGCAAAACTGAACTTGATTGTATTAACAGCGAATGAACGAACTGAAGTTTGAGGCCAGTGTTAACCGGAATGAACCCAAAAATAAAAATATTCTCAGCTGAGTAATCAATGAAGTCAGAGAGCATTCACTTAATACTGAGTCAATCGTATTACAAAAATAGTTAATAAATCATTCTCTTGGCTAGCATCCATCTCAGATCGGAAAAACTATTTGAGTACTGGATGCATCGGCAATTAAAAAACTAAACAAACAATAGCTTGGGCAAATAACTTAAGTGCTTGTTATCAGTTAGATAACAGACATGTATTCAATCAACAGAGTTCTCTCAATTAAACAGACAGCATAACAGACGCAAGCAATAAGAATGCACCCAGATCGCACCTGTCGAAATCTCTAACATGTACATCATTGGTATTACTTAAACTTTCCTAAAAAAATAATTCCCTTCACGCATGCGCAGCGTGCGTCACGTTTGTAAACAAATAGTCTTAGCAAAACAAACAACAGAAACGAGATCTGTGAGCAACTGACCGAAGTTCGAATACCCTTACTCGATATACATTCACAAATACAAATACAAATACATATGTATACATAGACATATATGCACATATAGCATGGAATCTTATTTTCTACTAGCTATCTGATATATATAGTTAATTCAGTCACTAAAATAAGTTTGAAATCAAGCAAATTTAAAATGCATATGCACAGAAATAATTTATGATCTGATCATAAATATATAAACTTTAAGAAAACTCGTGAAAACATTAAAGTACTTCGGCTAAAGTATACCACTTGCTTACCGTTCTCTTCGGTATAGCCCCAGTGATGGCTCATCGTAGATTTGATCTTTGGTAACTAGCAGAGTATAGACTAGTAGAGCAGAAAACAAGACTTTTGTTCTTGCACTCGCGGTCGCTGGCACGCGTTTGATTCTTGTCGCGAATGTAACGACACTTTTTATAATAACCCGATAAATAGGGCTAAGGTTATGGCTACGGTTGCTGTTACGGTTTGCTAAGGGGAGCGCGTCTGCTTAGCTTGTCCGCTGACTGTAGACTGTTTGACTCGCGGCAGCGTCGCCGACTTCGAAGCTAACTAATAAGAAGACAAATGAAAATAAAAAAACACGCACCTCCAACCGGACTGTAACAGCGTAAAAGAGAGAGAGTGAGAGAGAGAGAGCTGGAGAAAAAACGCAGTCTAACCAGTATATGAGCGAACGTGCGAGCGAGCTAACGAAAGAGAGAAAGCTTAAAGAGAGCGAGTCAATTGAGCAATTAAATTAGACTACTGTGTTTAGCTATGCTCACGCTACGCTGCGCTGTGCAAGAGGAGAGAGGGCCGAGAACGATGGAAACGCGTGTTGACAGTTCAAAATCGGACTCAGCCACGCGTCTCAACATTAATTGCAGTGTGATGACATTTACGCAATGCTGCTAAGTGGCACTTAAAGTTCAAATTCGTGTCGATCGATTGCTGTTAACTTTCTGTTACTGTTAAGCGGATTGCCTATAGTTGTGGTAGGCAATTTAGCAAAGTACTGTCTGTTTACATATTTTACTGTACATTATGCTGCGCGCCCACTGTATATATACGCAAACGTATACATGCAAAACAAATTGTCGCCGTAATTTGTTGTTGAACTTTAGCCATTGTTTTATTTAGTTTTTGCAGCCCACAGCGTGAACATGATAGGGCGACACACTCTCACACACATAGGCCTGCTAATAGCCATTAGTTAAGTTCAACTGTTGATTCTTTTGACAAAAATTGAACCACAGCTCGTGGATCAGTCTGCTGTGGGGTTGCCTGCAATGTTTATTTTTTGGGGGCTTCGGTGACTGTGGCAATTTTCATCAAGCACAACGTTATTTCATTATAACACGTTGCTCAGTGCCAGTTTAGCGAGTTAAACCAAATTGGCAAACTAATTTTCAATTATTTTTGTGCCTAAGCTCAAATATAATAGAATAATTGCTAATATGATTCTCGTAATATGGAACTAGAATAATTCCTAATATGATTCTCGTAGTATGCAACTAGATTTGCTCAAACCCCGCGCTGCGTATGAGCACAATTTTTTAATTACAAATGTAGACACGGTTTTCATATTTGCACTGTGCACAGTTTTTTATCTACTCACGTGCACGCCAAGCGGCAAACTTTAAATACATTTCCGTAATTGCAATTGCACAACAAATATTGCAACATTAACCAGAACAAAAAATGGACAGATGGGGAATATGAAACGAGGAGAAGGTGCTATCCAGATTTTTCCATAAGCGCTTTCTATAAGCCCTTGCTCGCTCAAGGTCAAGAAAGAGGGAGAGAGAGATCGATAGCAGTGTCACTGTTGTGTAATTTATCGATTAGGCCAGTGTTAACAGTGATCTCAGTTCAAATTCATTTGTCGAGTGAAGCTCACCGGAGATGACTTTACTGTTTAAATAAAGAGATCATTATTTTAACAGTTCTTTCAGGGATTGTCCTATTCTAAGAATTGAAACAGATCTCTGCTCTTACACGCATTTCTGGGTGAGTTCACTAAAGGTGTTTTTAATTCAAGAGCTCAGAACACAATTCACGATTTGAACTTCTTCATGGTCACAGTTTGTTTTCGTTAACTAATCTCTTGGCTTGATAATGAAAACAAAACACAGGCTAGTGCTTTATTTGTCTGGCCAGTTTTCCGCACTACTGTCTTATTATATTTATTTGACTTCTAGGTACACACAAGCAGAGCTTTGTTGTTGGCGACTCTTTAGAGCAACTATGCTATTATCATACAAATCTGTTATCTATCAGTTATCATAGACTAGCATTTGGCGACGGTTGAGCAAACAATAAAATAATATATAGAATATTTAAGCTAATACAATTTTAAAATTAATCTTAGCTTATGCTGTGCAAAAGTAGCACCTTTGTGCAAAATTTAACTATATTGTTGTACTTAAATTACAATGAAAATTATATAAATACAAATATATATATCTTTATTTTGTAACATCTTTTTCAGACATCCATCTATATACTTATCAATTTGCAGTGGTTTCTATTATTTTTTGTTTATTATTAAATTAAGCGTTTCAAAAATAAGCGTTCGTTTTCAATTAACACTTATCGAGATCTTCTGATTTCAATAGATTCAAGTTCGTTCGAGGCGTCAAATCGGCACATCGGGTGAGTTACTCCGATTAAGTTTCCATTAAAATTGACTTATAAACAAGATTTATTAACACATTCCTTCGAATTTGCAAATCACCAATTCAAAATGTATTTGTTGTTGAGTCTCCTTCTTATCTGCAAAACTTTCCTTTGCACGCTGCTCTCTGCTGTTTTGGTCATTTAGCATTCAATTTGGAAGAAACGACATACAATATAATATTATTTGTTTGACGCACGTGACCAAAGCTTTTGGTTGCCAGTAATTTAAAAAGCTGATCATCAAAATAGCCAAACAAAGTATCGATCATAGCAAATTGAAATAACCAACTAACATATACTAAGTATCTATAAGAATCGGTGATATGTTTTGTTTACACATTCTTTTCTATTGCAAAGTCTGCCAGAAATACTAACTTAACGTTGACCTTAATTCACATCTGATATTTACAATAATTGATATCTTCCAAAATGGATGGATATAAAATGCTCATGAAAATATCATTCCATTAGTTATTTTTATTAAAATTATTTTCAATTAAATTTTATTTAATTGGTTTTCTTTTACTATTAAAGATTTAACAAAATTTCAAGAGCAGTCTCCGATTCCAACTTCTTGATTGATTGACACTAAAAAGCTTTGGACTATCATCACGCATGCGTAATTTGCGTGTTATCCATCGACTCACAATTTCGTATACTTTATAACAATAACTATAACAATATAGCATATTTACAGTGCTGGCGAACCTAACTAAAAAAGGCTTGATAAATTCATAAAGAAATTGTTAAGAAATATGTTTGACTTTTTGATAAAAATATATGATTTTATTTGTTTTTTTTTTTTATTAAATTGTCTCGCAATGTAATGTGCAAACCCGAACATAAATTACTCGAAATGTAAAACTTTTCAGCTATTAAGGCTTAACAGCTGTTGAGCTGCCCAGTCTATCTGAGCTGCAGCTGCTGGTTAACAGCGAACTGTTACTTTACAGTTTTGCCCCTAAGTATGCAATATGTTTTTTTTACTGCATCCCGCTATTTCTGTTCCTCTGACACGGATTGAGTCAATAAAAATGTATGGTTTGGGTCCACAAGAGCTGACCCGTGAGGATATGCAACAATATATTTATTTACGCTTTTACGTTGGTAACTTTCACTTCCAGTTTTCTGGTATTTGGAGTGCAGCGGTTGTTTCATGTGAAAATACTGGCAGTTTATTTTTGAATAAATATATGACATTTAAATTACAACATAAATAAATAATTTTGTATATTTCATTTATTGCTTGCATCAGTGTGGCGAGTCCGATTAATTTGAAAACATATTTTTTTATTATAACAAATAAAGCGCAAAAACATAAATAAAATTAATAGGAATTGACAGAATTCACAGGAATTCAATGCCCGAACTATAAACTATTGTATCAAAGTAAATTGTTTCGTTAAATGTGTGTTACGGCAGAAGAAAGCTTAGCAGAACCTATAGTTTAAAAATGGACAATTAAATAAATTCCTCAAAAATTGACAATTTGTCTCATTCCGTAATATAAGCAAATTTTTTAAAAATACCCTGGAAATCTTGAACTCTGCATCAAATTATATCGATCTTTAAGGATATAACCTAGGTTCCTTTAACGTAATAATAAAAGCTGTAACTCTGTCATCTCTTTTAGGGGTTTGAGGAAACAACTAACTGCCTCGAACTTCAATTAATGATGGGATTATCGTATAGCATTTGCACAAATGGCAAAGTATTTAATAAATATTTAACATCTCACAATATACAAACTCTATATCTTATTATATTTGGACAGATGTTACAATCTGCTGTATTATATTAGCCTAAAGCACCGTGCCTTTTACATATGTTATCTGAATTGGTATAAGAATTTTTTGTTGACCAAACGAATTCGTGATTCCCCTCGATATTATCTATATAATAAAGATTTTGTAAATTTATGGTAATAAAGGGAATAAGCTTCTATATTTTTTAAGCCCTTTTAAGTTAATAAGGTTTTTGGATTTATCCTAGTCTTAATCAAATTGTACATACAATTTATGTACGATATTTATTGCTGTAATATATATATTTGAAATATATAATTTGATTTAAATTATAACTAGCAATATACAAGCTAAAGTATAGCAAGATTTATTATTATTTATGCTACATAATAATGTTAGAGAATGGATAATTTTTTAGGATAGTTAAATGAATGCATCAAGAACGTTTGCCAGAAAAGAAGATAAACTTTAGGTTACATAACGCATATATCGTACATAACATACATATACATATTATATGCTTATGTATGTGGCATATAAACCAGTGCACACACAAACATATATTAAAGCCTTACACACTGAAGTGTGCGTGTGTGTGTGTGTGTGTGTGTTTGCAAACATGATATAAAACAACAACTTTTTTGTTTAAACCTAAGTATAAACATTACAAATTGCATTAATAAAGTAAATAACATAACAACAATGCCGGGATATTGGATAACTAAAAGGTTCACCCTCGGGCTAATTGGCCATTGTCAATGTAGCAGGGGCCGTGGTTCCGTTAAGTTCATGCGCCTTCACTATTTAACATTCACATTCATAATATTAAATACTGGACCGATGCGCATAAATACACGCCTAAGGACACTTCGCAGTTCGGGCTTGAGGTCAAAGCACATCATCTCACACAGCAGGCTATAATAGTTGGACACATGCGTGGCAAACTAGAAAATTTATAGAAAAGGAAATTTAAATAATCGTATTTATTGTTTGTATATTAATTTATCCCTCACCCTCGCATCGGACATCTTAAGTAGGCGTGTCAAGATGAGTAGTAGGAGAGATGTCCACGCTTCCCGATGCGCCTCGCTCTGCAGGCTGAGATAGTAGGCCAGCGC